TAGGCACAAGAGTAGCATCTGAAGAGCTCTTTATCTACGTCTCTCGCCTCTGTCACGGTTCCACCTGCAAGCCGCCTAGCATTGTTAGAATCTGCCCCCACCCCCTCGTCCCCGTGTGCGCAGGCGCAAACTTCTCAGCTCGGCCTCCTCCCTCCGGCTCCGCCCCCAGGCCCGCCCTCCGCCGACACGCCCCCCACCTTCGCGCTCTGGGGCTCAGGGGAGGGGAGATGAATGTTCAAGAGGATGTGCGGCCAATGCACGAGCGTCTCGGACGCGGCGCTCCGCACTGGTAGAGTAAGTCTGATGACGTAGCCACTCTCCAATCGGCATCCCGGGGGCGGGACTAAAGTCGGGCAGGGCAGGGCCGGAGGAGGAGCCCGCCGGGTGGAAGCACGTGATCGCGGTCTGGAGCCGGAAGCCAGGTCGGCTGCAAGCGCCCCCAGCACCTAGAGCTGCGATGGTGAGTGAGGACGCATGCGCAGAGTTACGCTAGGCGCCGGGGGTACCTTGCCCCTGTCCCCCAATCTCTTTGGTTGCCGCGCCCTGAGCGTGCCCTCCGGCCTCACCTCCTATTCTCCGCGGGACTAGGAGGGAATGGAGAAGGGAGGGGTGGCGACGTAGAAGGCCAAGGAGAAGTCGCTGGGAGGGTGTGTAGAGGCTGGGGACTGGTCTGAGGGGGAGGCGCAGGCCACAGGTGGGTTTGGGGAGGGGCCCGTAGGGTCGCAAAGGGGACGTGTGTAAAGCTAGTGGAGCCCCGGGCGGAGCAGAAGACTGACGGAGGCTCAGGAGGACCAGTGTTGAAAGGCTGTGTAGAGGGAAGAGGGTCTGGAAGGGCCCTGGCTGGGTAAAGAGGCTTGGAGCCGGGGCAGGGGGCACTGTCAAGAGAGAGACTCGGGTTTCCCAAGGGCCGTCCTTTCGGCCTACTCCTCACTAATTGCATCTTTACCCACTAGACTTCGGCACTGACCCAGGGGCTGGAGCGAATCCCCGACCAGCTTGGCTACCTGGTGCTGAGTGAAGGCGCGGTGCTGGCGGTGCGTTCTGGAAACGGGAGGGGCGTGCTCCAAGTTCACATGACCCTGGGATGCCTTCTAATGTTGCCGTTTGGCCCGATTTGTCTCTGTTCTTGATCTTTACCTGGTATCACGCCTGGCATGTAGGATTAAATCAATTAGCCAATCTCTGGACTCTTAGTCTTGTAACTGTCCTGAAGAGGTTTACTGACCAAAGTCAGGCTAGTTACAGGTTTGTTGATAACTGACAATACCCAAGTTACTCTTGAGTATGTCTTTATTTGGTATTTATTGAAGAGGCTTGGTATTTTGTTCTGTAGTACAATACAGTGTCAGCTCTAGAAGTTTTCAATCTAGTTAGAGACCAGGCTTAAGGCTAAAAGTTCAAAGTAGTGCATGTGGTTAACGCAGCTGAAGGAGTCCAGAAAGTGAAGGATTCAGCCCTTCATACTATAACTTGTGTTTTGGCAAGGAACCTTCCTTGGATGAGGTAAGAATTCATCTGGGCTTAAAAGATGGATAGATGGCAGAAAAGAAAGAATATTCAGGGTTGGGAGGTGGACGTGTTTGCAGGAGTGTAACACCAGCCTGTCTGAATTGGTGATGGGGTTATGTTGAAAAGATTTGGAAACATTTGGGGGAAGAAGAGGAGGATATGGTAGGGAAAGGTCCGATTGAAGGACTTTCACGGCTGGGTTAACACATTTGGATTAACCTTGGGGGTAATAGGTTTGAAGGGTTTTTGAACAGAAACAAGCTGATGAAGTGATTGAGTGGCATTGTTCTGTTAGGTGTAAAGGTAAGCCAGAAGGGGCGGGATTTAAAAGCAGGGATGCTGTTGCCGAAATCTAGGTATGAAACCTCTGGTTGCAACGAGGAGCAAGGAGAGAAGGGGTTTTTAAACGAAGGATTGTCTTAGTAATGACTTAATGTTAGTCACTCAGTCGTGTCCAATTCTGTGCAACCCCATGGACTGTAGCCCGCCAGGCTCCTCTGTCCATGGGATTCTCCAGGCAAGAATATTGGAGTGGGTTGCCATTCCCTTCTCCAGGGGATCTTCCCAACCCAGGGATCGAACCCTGGCCTCCTGCATTGCAGGCAGATTCTTTACCATCCGAGCCACCTAGGAAGCCCTTGTAATGACTAGAGCTCAGTAATAAAGGGGACACTTCCATCCTGTCCAACTTTGAATGCAAGCCTAGACCAGCAGGGTCTAGTTAAGTGCCTTAACCAGCAGGGACTTAAGGAAGGAAGCTGATTGGGGAGGGGGAGAGGTAAGGGGGATTTTGATAGTCCAGCTTTAAACACTTGAGTTTGATATAGAATAGGGTAAACTCTAGGAGTTGGTGATGGACAGGGAGGCCTGGCATGCTGCGGTCCATGGGGTTGCAGAGTCAGACACAACTGAATGACTGAACTGAATAGCAGTTAGATAATGCCAGGAGCTAGTCTGAGCATCTTGCCAGTACTCTTGTGACACTCCCAAGCACGTAAGATAGGTACCGATGTCCCCAGTTTACAGATGAGGAAACTGAGGTATAGAATCCAGCAGGAGGGCCATATTGAGGAGGTAAGAAGTTGAGCTCATTATCAGAAAAGAGGAAGCCCAGGCCACTGTGACGTCATTACTCAAGGGCCGAGTAGTCTGAAGGGGTTCAGAGACAAAAGGGATGTTTACGTGTCAGGTTCTGCAGACAGGGTGACAAATGGGAAACAGGAAAAGATGGAGCCTGGGACTCTCACTGTGGTGGTTGGGCACTGATATGTGAGAATGTGGTTTTTTTCAAATAAGTGGAGACAGGGAGAGAAACCGAGATTCAGGGATTGGGGAAACAGGGTCAGTGAAGAAATGGATGAGAGTTCCTGCTTCCTCGGGGAAGCCCAGTATTTTAAGGATGACAAACAAGATGGCATCAAGAGGGGCAACAGTGTCATAGGAGAGTTTAGGTTTTTCCAAAACTAGGGGTGATGTACGGAGAAGGTAATGGCACCCCACTCCAGTACTCTTTCCTGGAAAATCCCATGGACAGAGGAGCCTGGTAGGCTGCAGTCCATGGGGTTGCTAAGAGTCAGACACGACTGAGCGACTTCACTTTCATGCACTGGAGAAGGAAATGGCAACCCACTCCAGTATTCTTGCCTGGAGAATCCCAGGGATGGGGGAGCCTGGTGAGCTGCCGTCTGTGAGGTCGCAGAGTCGGACACGACTGAAGTGACTTAGCAGTAGCAGGGGTATGTAGGAGTGTTGGAAAGTCAAGACAGGTTACACATGCTAGCACCAAAGTGTTCTTGGAATTGCCTCCCAGTCCTGTTCCCTGATTGCTGCCGCCCTCCCTCTGTGTGCAGTCATCTGGGGATCTGGAGAATGACGAGCAGGCCGCCAGCACCATCTCTGAGCTCGTCAGCACAGCCTGCGGCTTCCGGCTGCATCAAGGCATGAGTGTACCCTTCAAGCGTCTGTCGGGTGAGCCGCGGCCTCTGGTGGGGGGGGGCGGGCGGTGCTGCTCCCCAAGGCCACTCTTCTGGGGGAAAGACACCTGTCCTCTACCAGCTGCCCACCATCTCCTCTGGAATCCTTGTCTTCCCCTTGGTATTTACCCCTGTATCAGAACTATGAGAAGAGCAACAGAAAGGAGGGAATTTAATGGAGATCTTCCATCTTCTAATGTTTGAGCTTTGAACTGTTGAATTCCTTTGGCTTTGGATCCTAGCCAGTTTGTGTGCGACCTCTACGGAGGCCCCCACAACCCACTAACTCTTTGCTCCCTTCCCTCTCCCGGGGTGGGGGAAGGTGCGTCTCCCCTCCAGTGGTCTTTGGAGAACACACGCTGCTGGTGACAGTCTCGGGACAGAGGGTGTTTGTGGTGAAGAGGCAGAACCGAGGTCGGGAGCCCATTGACGTGTGAGCCTGCCCAAGGGCGAGGGGCAGAGGAGGAGCCTCTGTGACAAGAAAGATGGGAACCTCCGCGGCCTGTCTCTTGGTGCCACTAGAACTAAAGCTGTCTGCTCACCCGCTTCCCCCCCCCTCGACCTGGAAGGGCAGAGGCTCGGGAACTTTGTACTCTGTTAAGGAGAGTGAAGGTGAGAGGACCTCCCTTCTTCTCACCCTCCCTAATAAACATGAGTGTGATGTTCCTGGGCCCGGGGATGTGTTGTGTGTATTGGGGGAGGAGGGTCATACCCCATGTGTCTTTCAGCTTCCTGGGCCTCAGTCCAGAGGAGTGGGGTGGACAGAGAAAACTGGGAATCAGAAGAAAAAAAAATGGGTGGGAAGGGAGCTATCTGGTGTACAGGCTGGAGGGAATCTTTCTGAGCCCTTAGGTCTCTGCTGCTGCCACCCACGCGCAAGTAACAGTCTTCTTCTCCCTCCTGAACAGGCATTTAATAGTCTTATTTCAGTTGGAAGCAGTAGTTGGAGAATAAGTTACAGGGACAGACAGACTTAAAAAAAAAAAAAACCCAAACCAAAAATCCCACACAACTTAAAGTGCTTCAGGCTGCAAACGTAAACGGGAGGATGAGGGGAGGCCACCTAGCTCTCTCCCCTGACCTGAGACAGGAGGGTCGTGTCATTGTCGGGTCCCTTTACCGTCACCACCCTCTGATCTCAGCCCTGCGGGTGGGAGGGAGGGAGGGAATGTCAGAGGCGGGGAAGACAACATAAGAGGAACAAGGAAAACACTTTGTAAACTTAGAACCAGGGTGCAAGGCGGGGGGCAAGGGAGCTCCTGGAGCCCCTGCCCTGGCCACGGGGTGGGGCCAGCCCCCCCAGGAAGTCCGGGAAATACTGTTGGCTTCACGCTGCAGCCATCCCCGGCCATTTCACAGCTTCTTCCCTCGTCCCTCATCAGTAGACACAGACAGGCGGCCCTGCGGGGGCCCCCTCACCCTAGGTGGGAGGCTCCCCGGGGAGGTGAAGCCTGGAGGGAGCACCCACGCTGGGGGCTATCCATTTCCGAGAGTGTGAGAGGGAGGTGGCCGGGTGGTCTACTTGACCGGCTCCACCACCAGGACCTTGCACTCGCGTTTGGCGATCTTGTCCAGAGAGAGCACAGCCTTGTCCGGGGGCAGGTAGAGGGGGCGGCCGACAGGGGAGGCCACGGGGGGCGTGATGGCCCGGCGCTCCATCACACTGCCCGACCTGGAGGAAGGTGGAGGCTATGGGCTCTGGCCAGACCCCAGGGTCCCGTCCTGCTCCCTTTCCAATCCCAGCCTCTACTAAGCCCGCGGGCCCCTCCCCGCACACTTCATACCTCATGAGGTGGCTACGGGAGGGCTGTTGGTGGGAGAAGGACTGAGAGCGGCCCAGGCTGGCCTGGTGCCTCTCCACCAAGTCCCGGACGGCAGGGCTGCTGGGGCTGCTCTTGCGAGAGAGAGGCCGAGCCTCGGGCGGCGGGTGGGACACGCTGGCAGTGAACTGCAGCTTCAGTTTCATGTGCTGGCTCAGCTGGGGTGGGGAGACACAGATCAGCTGGCCAGCTCGGCTGCCAGGCCCCTGACCTCCTTTCAGGTCATCTTCCCCACTTGACAGGCCGAAGTGGGATCTAAAGCCCACCTTCCCTCCACCCGGCTTTGTAGCACCCACCCATTTATGCTTCAGCCACAGAAGCCAGCAGACCTGACTCCTCCCACCCGACGCTAGGCCTCACCCAGCCCACCTCGAAGAGCCCGGTCCGCAGAGCCTGGAAGGCCACACTGAAGGTGAGCGCGCTGCCCTTCCGGGAGAAGCCGAGGTTGTTGAGGGGTGTGTGGCAGACGATGGAGTCCAGGGCTGCCTGCATGGCCCGGCGCTCCTCCTCACACAGCTGCTTTCCTGAGGGACAGAAACAGGGCTGGGAAACAGTCTGTGTGGCCTTTCTGGGTCTGCAGGGGGCTTTCACGAGCACAGTCTTGTTTGCTGCTCAGAGCCACTCTGTGGAGTAAACTGACTATATGCTATTGTTTGCTGAACTTCATAAACAACAGTAGCTAGTAGTTACTGTGTGCTGAGATCTATTCTAACCACTTCACATATGTTAACTTACTAAGTTGCTATGACAGCCCCATGAGGTATTATTTTCTCCATTTTAGAAATGAGAAATCTGAGGCTCAGAGAGGTTAAGTAACCTACTAAAGGTCACACAGCTAAGAAATGGGAGATGTACAAGTCAAACAGGGAACCCAACTCCCTTAAAATCACTCTGCCCCACAGCCTCTCTAAACTCTCCATTATGACACTGTGGAGACCACCCAGGTACACAGCTGAAGCAGCCTGCCACAAGTCACCCGCCTCCATGACATCTTCCTTTCCCTTCCCCTCCTAGCAGCTACCTACCAGCCTGGGCGTGCTCTGGGGTCCACACGAGCCTTACAGCAAGGAAGTCTTGGAGATTGTTGAGCAGCGTATAGGTAACAGTGAAACGCTCATAGGTCCGAACAGGGGACTCACAAGAAGCAGTCATCACAAAGCACGGGCGGTCGAGGCGGATGCTGGGCAAGCTAGAAGCAGTGAGAGAGAGAGAAGGAAGCAGGATGTGTGTGTTTTGAAACAGAGATGAACAGGATGGTGCCCAGTGGGGAGCATGGGGGGTGTCCCACAAACTCACCGGTAGTGGGTATAGATGCTCTGGGTGAAGGGCAACTTCGGCGTGGACCACTGAACCACAGCGATCAGGGGAACCTCTAGGCCCTGTCGGAGGGATGAGCAGAAACATCACCTGTGTGTGATGACCTGAAGGAGAGGTTCCCTCTCCCATTAGTCAACTCCCTGGCCTCTCCCTTCCCATTGCATTTTCTCAGCCTTTCTCCTTAAATACACCAGTCCCTTGTACTCACCTCCTTGGCCCCTGGAGGGGGCTGCTCACCCCCTCTGAGCTGAAACAGGAAGTTATGTTCCTCCAGGGCACTAAGTGGGCAGGGGAAGCAGCCAGAGGTACCAGGGAGCCGACAGAAGGAGCCCATGGAGACTTCCCCAGATTGGTGACTAGTTGAGAAGAAAGGGACCAGAGCTGGACCTTTCGCTGCCAGAGCTCTGGGCCCTGCGGCTGTGCCCAGGACTCTGCGGCCCCGCCCCTCCCGGGCCTCACCAGACATTGTCCACCAGCAGCACAGAGCCGTCGGGCATGACAGGTAGATAACTGGCATTGAAGTTTGGGAGAATGCGGATATCCCAGACAGAAATTTCCTCCTGGGAAGAGCTGTTCAGCACTGTGGGAGGTAACCAGCTCAGCTCAGAGTATCTGAACTCCTCGGACCACACCAACTCCCCCCTAAAACAGATCTATCCCCACCGTATTGTCCAGGGTAACTGCCACCCAGCCGGCACCCTTGCTGCTACCCAAGACTGGAGCCTCCAGTCTGCTCACCCTTGAGCACGGTCAAGTGTTTTCCAGCCACAGTGAACTGGCGGCACTTCAGAACCGGAGGGGGCAGCAGAGTCAGCAGGGTGCTCACTGCAGGAGAGGGCGGAGGCTGGAGATGACGGGCTGGGCACACCTCACCTCCAAGCCACAGGTCCAGTCTTCCTCTGGACCTCTGCCCGGATCGGGCACTTGCTGGTGCCACCCCTCCACCGTCCCCACGGAACCCAGACACGAGCATTTCCCCTCTGCATTCCCCTCCCCACCTTGGGCCTTGAAAGCGCTCTGCTCGCCTCTGAAGGTCTCCCCAGGAGACCGGGTCTGCAGCAAGCGCAGGTAGCCTTGATCTCTGACCTCCGGTGCCTCAACCTCCCGCTTCCACACGGTCACTACAATCTGAGCACAGGGGGGACAGGACCACAGTTAAGGAGAAACAACCTCAGAAAGGGCGTCTGAATTCAGACAGAGCTCCCCCCGCTGCTAAGCTTACCTTGGCCTTAGGTGTCCCTGGGGGCAGTCTATCCAGTGAAACGGTGAGTGGGAAGATGACCTCATCTGTGGACACAATTGGTTCCTCCACAGGCAGCTGGGTTGCCAGAGGGGTGAAGAGGTCAGGAGAGTCAAGGCAGCCCGCCGCGCCCGCGTCCCCTTTAAGATATACGGTACGTGGTTCTCGCCCTCCCCTCTCCTCATCCGTCATAGGCCTCCAGCTTCCCGCTAGCGTCCCTCTCCCCTCCGGTCTTGGGAGCCCAGCAAACCGCCCCTCCGCCCTGTGTCGTGGCGCTCCGGGCTCCTCACCGTGGTCGCTCCCCCTGAGGTAGCAGGGCCCGGGCCGTGGGTGAGGAGGGGGCTGCAGCCTCGAAACAACCCCCCACCGCCAGGGTCCCCGCCCCCCGGGGGTTCGGGGTCCTGGTCGCCCGAGCCACCGCCCCCGGGCGCCCCGCCTCCAGCGCTGACCGAGGCCAGGGCGGCCAGGGCGGTCGCCAGTTCCGCCCAGGCCCCACGGGAGCCCAAGCCTGGGCCGCCCCCGGCGCCGGACCCCGCGCCGCCCCGGCAGCGCAGCACCAGCAGGAAGCGAACCGTCTCCCCTAGGTAGAGGTGGTTGCGCCGGGGCAGCGCCCGGTACCGGCCCGGGTCCCCCGCCAGCTCCGCGCGCGGCGGCAGCGGCACGGCCGGGAAGTACATCGAGTAGTCGCACTGGGACTCCATGGGCGGCGCGGGCCGGGGGGCGAGGTGGGCCAGGGCCGGCGGAGGGCAGAGGGACCGCTAGGGTGGTTCCGGGAGCCCCGAGTTCCGACTGGTGCTGCGCGCGGCCGGGCCGGCCCGACAGACCAGCTGGGGCCGGGAACCGGGGCAACGAACCCGGAACCGAGACCCCACGGGGCCGGAACCGGGGTGCGGGACCGAATGACTGGTGAGAAACCGGAAGCGGAAGGGAAGGGGCGTGGCCTCGGAGGCGCCGGAATTTGTAGGTGACCGGACTTCGGAGAGGGGCGGGTGTGGCATGGGTTAGGCTGCTGTAGAAGGCTAGAGTTCTTGGACTACGAAAAGAACCCCGCCAACCCCGTTTCTTCCAGGAAGATGCTCCATCCCCTTCCTTGTCGCTCTAGAGCAGGTCGAAGTTTCAAATTGTTTATTAATTAAACATTTCATTCATAGTGAAATGAGCATAGCCCAGTAACAAGTGTTTCATAGATGGACGTATTATTCTGATACCTTGTGTCCCAGACTTGCTCTGTCGTACTCCATGGTTTGCTCCTCCAGAAGGCCTTCGAAAGTGCAGCTTGTACCTTCGGGGATGGGGATGGGGTCGGGGGTGGGAAAGGGGAAGAGGCAAAAATGGGAGGGAGCCTGCTGCTCGGTCTGGGATTCCTTGGCACAGGCTGGAGGATGTAGGACCCACATTCTTGCAAAGTTCCACTTGTCCTCTGGGGAGCAGACATGCTTTCTGAGGGAAGCTGAAAGGGCATTTGGCTGCCTCACAGTCATCACTGGCGCCCTATGGCTTAACTGCTCTTCAGCTTAAGACAGTGGTTTGATGCTTAGGGGGAGGGTCGCCTTGAAGTCTTGAGGGGCAGAGAGACTGTTGGGGGGAACTGCTTGGCATCTAGCTTATCCTTGTACTGCAGCTCGGGGGTAGCCAGGCGCTCACACTCCTCCTGGTCTTGGAGGCTCAGCCCACTTCGGAGCACATAACCCAAAACCTTACCTGACCCAAACTGGAAAGGGCGGAATCGCCGGTCAGTGATGTACTTGGGGTCTAAAGCCTCACCCCCCACCAGACAGTGTTTAGCTAGGGCCTCTCGGCGAGCCCGGAGCTCCGCCACAGCACTCTCCAGCCGGCTCTGGCCATATTGCTTTATCCGGGCCCACAGACTTCGGTTGAAGTGAACATAGAGAGCCCAGTCCAAGTTGTTCCAGGCTCGTGCTCGGGCAGTCAGCTGCCTGTCCTCAGTGGTCAGTCCACCATCGTCAATGGTGCTTCCGTCCTGCCCACCTCCAGCCTGGGCGTTGTGCATAAAGCCTACCACGTCATCTAGACCCCAGCACAGCGCATCTGCCAGCAGGACCAGTGACTCATCAAAGTACTCAGCCACCAAGACCAGGTCAAAGACAGAGTCCAGCCAGGCCAGATTCCACTGGATGAAGGATGAAGACCCCAAATCTAAAGAGGCAGGGCTGGACATCTGGCTGTGACCATCAGCAACAGTGGGAACAGGATGGAAGAGAGCATTGGGATCCAGGGTGTGGGCTGGAGGGCCAGCACCAGAAGGTAACTGGGGAGGGTTGGGGTCTCTGGAGACACGTGGATTCCCTCTCTTGGTCCTCATATCTGGGGGGAAGGGGAGGCCAAAGTCAAACCATAGCAAGTTGCGCGCGTAGTGGTCCCCCCGGGCCCCAGGTCGGTAGAAGGCTCGAGGATTGGCCAAGAAGGCAGCCAAGGATGGTGCTTTGCGGAAGGCCGATGACGCGGATTTATAGTAGGAGAAGGCAGAGCGGGCCAGAGCCGCTGGGTCTCGGACAATGGAAAAGAAGAAGCTGTCAGAAGGCATGACCTGAAGTACCTGGGGAGGAGAGGAAACCAGCACAGAGAGTGAACTATAGAGGAGGAAACTAACAGCAAACCCAGTGCGCACTGACCCCCCGGCCGCCTCCAGCCTCCTCCTGACAGCTCTGCTGGGAACCCCCAGCTGCCTGCACTAGCTGCACAGACCTTGGTAAGGTGCTTGACATCTCTGAAACTCAATTTACTTATCTGCAAAATGGGACCCATCATACCTTCCTTCCCAGATGATTATGGAGGTTACATGAGATAAGGATAGGAAGGAACCCAGAATATGGGGAACTCCTGGAAAACATTAATTTCCTCAGGCCTTTCTGTTTGCTTTGGTTGGTAACACTTCTAGGAATCAAGCCTTGTGTTCACTTCTCCAACAAAAACCTATAACATGTCTACCATGGGATTCTTGGTCACAGCTCCAAGAAAGGAACTGGCTTCAGGCTTCCTCAGGAGGATCACTGGCAGCAAGTAGATAGCAACCATAATTCTATCTCAGGCACAGGCGTCAGGTGGGCAGGCCAAGCCCAGCATGGCTGAAGGTCAGGGCACTTGGGAGGCTCCTTGGCATCTTGGAAAGCAAGAGACATCCCTGAAATGGGCACTGAGGAGCCATGGCCATTCAATAAGGATCTGTTCCGAGTCTTGGGACGTAAGATGCCACTTGTTGGCAAGAAGGAAGGTGGGCATTGGGCTGAGCCACACCCTAGTGTGGCCCAGCAGGCAGATCCACACCAGAATCCAGCTCTGGGGCTCCCTGAAGGATTTCTGCCTCTGGATGTGACTGTGGTCGTTACCATGGCTCCCTGACAAGTCCTCCACTCTGTTTTGTGGATGTGGGGCATGCCTGAGGGACAAGCCTGTGGACTGTGTGTCTTTGAAGGCATAAGGGAAGAGTGCAGAGAACAGTCCATGGCATCAGAGGGACCTGGAATAAAATTCCCATTCAGCCACTTACCAACTGGTGTAACTTTGGGCAGGTTATTGTGCTTCTTAGAGCCTTTATTCCTCCATCAATAAATCTGGGTTAATACTCACTTTGAAGAATGTGCAAGTGCATGGAACATGGGAGGTAGTCAGTGAATGGTGGTGACAGTCATCCTGAACTCCAGAGACACCTGCCTCAGTGACTGCTGTCCTTGCTTCACTCTCAACAGTGCCCCTCGCTGCCTGTTAGATCAGTTCATGCTGCTGCTCCTTTCTTCAGCTCCAGCTCCAACAGGACTGTCTTTGCAGCCACCACTGAAGTACTATCACCTACACACACACACACCCCACTGCCACTGTGTCTTTGAGATGTTTTGCTCTGAGAACACCCGATATTTCCCTTACTACAAAGTCATGTCCACTCTTCCCTATAAAACCCACCTGTTGAGAACACCCCACCTCTTTTGATGAATATTCTTCCCACCGTTCCAAATAACAAATACACATACGCACACACACGTGCAATGGAAGGCACTTTGGAGCAGCTGGGCCTGGGTTCAAATGCTAGTCTGCAGTTTTCTGTTAACAGAGGGCCAGTCCCTTAGCCTTTCTGGGAGTGAATCTCCTCATCTGTGTAGTGGGGACACTTATGCCTTCCTGGCAGGGTGACGGTAGGACGATTACCCAGCACTCAAGACATGTTCAGTGAAAGTTGGCTCTTGGCCTGTGTGTTTTCATTTGCCCATTGATTTCCTCCTCCAAGAGCTCCCAGGTTCCTGTGTGTGTGTGTGTGTGGATGACATGTGAGTGCGTGCACGCATCTCCCCATTTAGAACTGAGGCTGCGGGCAAGGAAGGGGGGCTGGGGCTGGGCTAGAGCTTGGCATATAGCTGATCCTCGGAATCTGGCAGACATGGTGAAGGGCGTGAGAGGAAGGCGGGTCCGAAGGCAGTGACTGCACAGGGCCCCTGGTGGTATCAGTGAGAGAGGCCCGGAAGGGCCAGGGGCACCTGGAGGGAGGGTTGGTGGGGTGGGGTCAGAGTTGGCAGGGCACTGCTGCCAGCAGGCTAAATGGATCAAGGAAAAAGACTAGTAAATTCTAGATGGGAGAAGGCAGAACTTCAGGTGCCAGAAAATTCTGAGGAAGGGACAGCTGAAGAGAGGAGAACAGGACTCCCACCTTTGTGGGACTGCCCCCCAGCCCAACCTTTGGGTAAGGAGATGCCTGGGGAGCCCCCATTGCCTGGGGTCTCCCCTCTGGTGGTCTTGGCTACAGGCCTGAGCCCATCTCTCCCCAGTCCCTCCCACCCCCTCAACACTCCTCACCTCTTTCAGGTTGAACCTCATGTGATGACAGAGGATGTGGAAAGGGGGCTGGGTGTCTCCACTCTGAGGGCGGTAGCCTTTGACCCGAGAGGCCTGGAAAAGTCTTGGGTAGCCAAACTGGTAGCGGGCAGGGAGGGCAAAGCGCAGCCCGTGTCGGTCCCCATAGCGGTGAAGCAGACTCAGCACAGAGCTGCTCCCGGATTTATGTGTCTTCAGAAACACAAGGCGCTGCCGCGGCGGGCACGATGGAGCAGCTGGTCCCGGGGCTGAGGCCCAGAAATGTCGGAGCTGCAGCCCGGGTAGCCTGGGGAGAGACCGGAGGGGAAGTGTCCTGTCCCTCACCAGCAGGTGGATGGGTGTCTCATGGAGCCAGGAAGGCATGGAGTGTCCTCTGAGGCCCCAAGAGTCACAGCCCCAGATGGAACAGACAAGAGCACGGGGGGCATCTGGGGGCTGTTGGGACAAGATGGGAACTCACCTCCTCTGGAAGGGACCCCCCCAGAGCTGGAGGGCAAATCCGATGGTCATGAAGACTCCCAGAGCCACCCCCAGGCCCCGGGGCCCCCAGAGGCGCATGGTCCTGGTGGGAGACAGAAGGCCCATGTGGCCCGGGGAAGGGTGACGCTGGAGAGGGACAGGGCACGGGCCAAGCACAGAGGCAGAGACAGCTGGAGACCGCCGTGCAGCCGCGGAAAGCACTGATTCGAGTTCGGGGGTTCATTCCCCAGGCCTGCTCGCAGCCCCGGTTGAGTCTGCCCCCTGAGTTAGCAGATTTTTGCCTCCGTCAGCGTCTAGAAGGGAAATGAGGGGGAAGGAGGGGAATCTAAGGAGCGGGTAAGAGCCTTCGCTCCTGCTGCCGGGCAGCCGCGACCTCATTGCAGGCAGGGGGGCAGGAGGGGAGCTCTCTCTACACCCAGATCTTCCAGGTGCCCCATGACTGCGGCTCTGCTGTCAGCTGCAGCTCCCGCCAACCTCCAGGGACTGTTTCTCCCCAAGCCCCAGGGATTCGGAAGTGAAAGGGAGGACGATCAGACCAATCCACTCGTACCAGGGAGATGGACATCTCCAGGCCCCAGGCCACCTCCTCTGTCCCTCTGCCTGTGACAAGTCCGAATGCGGCGCCCCTCTCTGAGGCTGAGAGGGGAAGCCTTAAGGAGGGCCTGACGGGGCACACGGCTTAGAAACCCAGGGAAGTGAGACCGCAGGAGCGACTTTGTAAGGAGTAAGAGTCGACCGGCTCATCTAAGCTCAGGCATCCTTTCCCTCGCGGCGGCGGCGGCGGGCGGCGGGCGCGAGCAGACGCCAGTGTGTGAGAGCGGCCTGGGGGGTGTAGGGTTGCTTACGAAGCCCAGTCCCAGCCATAAACAACCCTCCCAAACACACCCCCGTTTCCACTTTCCAATCCCAGCAGTGCACCCAGAGGGGATCGAGAGGGTGGGGCTGGGGAGAGAAACTCTGTGACACAAAGATAGCAAGACAAAAAAAGCGAACGCTGAGCTTTGGAATTCCTTCTCAGGCCCCAGCTTCCCAATCAATTGGGAGTCCAGACCTGCCCCTTCATTCCAACCCACAGCCACGGGCCACAGCCCGTCTTTCCAGCAAGCCCTGACAGCCCCCTTCCAGGATGAGCCCAAAGCGACCCCAGGCAGAGAACCCACACTTGCTACCTAGAGACCCGCCCTCTCTGGCATCACCCCCTCACCCCGCCCCCCGCCCGTTTCCTCCCCCAACCTAGCCCCAGGGTCCAGCCCCGCACCGCACCCCCTCCCACGTTTAGGTTTCTTGTCTTCCTTCCACCCATCTCTGTCTCTTCCCATTACCTCCAATTCCAGCCCTGGGACCCCTCCAGCTTTGGGGATTGCTCAGTCTGTTGCCAGCCCTGGGTTGGCTCCCTCTGGGGTTCTCTCTGTGAAACCCCTCATGACTCCTCCCATCAATTCTAGAGTCTTTCCATTGATCTAGGCCTCAGCTTCGCTTGCCCACTCACCAGGCCACCTGAGGAGCAGCAGGGAAATCGGGGTCTGGCCCGCCTGCCCGCCCCAGCCACCGCCCGGTTCCTCGCTCAGCTCAACTTTTCCCAGAAACTTTCTCAGCGCCCAGGCTCCTCCCCCTCCCTCCCTTTGTCCCGCCAGTCCGTGCCGCTGATTCGGCTTTGACGGCGGAATCTCTGGGTCTCTCCTTCCCCGCATCTTTCCTTCTCTTTCAGCGCACCCAGCCTGCCCTTAGAAGACACTTCTACCCTCCCTTCACAATTGTACTTTTTCTTTCAGCTTTCTGCAGGACAAAAGACTCAATTCAGGCAACTGAAAGAAAAAAGAAAGAAGGTGGTAACAGTTTAAAGCAGACATTATCAAGGATATGACAAGGTAGTCAGAGGAACCTTCACAGAGGAGGAGGAGATGGGGGCCGAGGGGGCCCACCCACCCTGAAGGCAGAGGGCAGTAGCATGGTGATATTAACGATGCCTTGGTTCCAGAAGAGTTTTGCTAGTCTCCAGAATTCTCCCCATTTTGCAGATAGGTATTCAGACCCAGAGGGTGGACAGCTTGCCCAAATTCAATCCCAGGGGACAGGTTCCAAGATAAGGAGGCAGAAAATGAACTGCTGATCACAGAGACTCTGGGGCTAAAGGTACAGAAAGTCATACACCGGGTCCAACAAATTAGCCATTTATTTACAGAATAAACACTGAGTTGAACACTGAAACATGAAATGGGGATGCCTGTGAAGGATGTGGATGGCAGAGACCATGAGATGTGGGTTTTTGTTTTTTGATATTTTAGTTTAAGAAAGTGATACTGAAAAACTCAACAGAATCCAGGCCAATAGATCCTGACAACTTAGTCCCCTGCCCTGCACCCCATAAGCGCCCAGCTTTGTCTATTTCTGAGTTTCTGAGACCAGGTGCCGCACCCATCCCACTTTCAACTTCTTTCACCACCGCCCCCCCCCCCAACTGCAACTCTAAAACTCCTTCCTTTTTCCCTGTTGGGGCTCACCACCAACCTAACTATAGAGGCTGGGTTGGAGAGACCATACCTCCTTCCTAAATAAACACCCCCAGCCCTTCCTCCCCAGATACCAAATGAAAAAATAAATATTGTGAACACCCACCCCCAACCCACCAATGGAAATCTGGATTTGGGGCCCCAGCCATTCACCCAAAACGTCCCTCTCTACCCTCTCTGCAGCCCTCTTCGACTCCTCCCCCGACCCAACTGATGGGGGAGAGGGGAAGGGCCATGAACCCTCCCGATGCCAGGGCACCCCTCCCCTGTTATCGAGGTCCAAGCAGGGCTAGCGCTAAGAGGAAGAGAATGAGGAGGGGTTGTGTGTGAAAACCAACAGATGTCCCTCCAGTCCTGCTCCGGTCCTGGCTGTGGCGGATAATGACACCTCCTTTGCTCCCAGCACCTTCCCTTCGAGGAGGGCGAGGAGCTCGCGCTGGGGGGGCCACAGCTGCTGCGCCAGCCATCCAGTCATCTGCATAGTGTTGTCCCTCTCCAGAGCCGCTAGCGTCCTCTAGAGGGAGGGGGAGGATCGGAAACAGACAGGGATGAAGAGGGGCAGCGTGAGATGGTGCAAGAAACAGCCACAGGCGGGGAGGAAAAGAACTCGAGAAAAAACAGTCAGAGGTTGGGGCAGGAGCAGGCAGGGTGAGAGGAGGGAGAAAGTGAGTGACAGGAAGGCGAAGAGAGATCAGACAGACATGGAAACAAGGCAACGAGACACAGGAAGAGACGAGACAGACAAAAAAGACAGATGGGGGGAGAGGATAAACAGGAAAAGAGAGAAAACAGACACGGAAGCAGCGAACCGACGGAAGAGGAGTGGGGGAGGAGAGACAGAGACGGTGGGGGAGAGGGGAGAAAAATGTATGTCAGTGCCTTGCATCTCTGGCAAATTCTACTTTGGGGAGCCAGCCCCGTGGAACCCGCACCCCACTTCCCCACCTCCCTGGATTGCCTGTGCTCCCCAGTCTCTTCCCACAGCCCACCCTCGGGAGCTTCCCACCGCTCGGTAGGAATGTTTTGCAGTCTCCCCCAAGGGACCGTGAAATCAAGGGTAGAGATCTTCTCATTGATCTTCCACTCCCTACCTTTGAGGTAAGCGCTCAATACAGGTGTGTGAACTGCGTGAGTGAATGAATGAATGAATGAATGGTAACTGAGACGCGAGGGGAGGGACTACAGACGCAGGGGGCGGGGCTGCGGGTTGGCCTGCGTCCAATCGCGGAAAGCGGGGCGGAGCGAGGTCCTCTCGGTGTTCGCGGGTCTCACCCCAGTCCTCCAGCTCCAGGTCGCGTCCCAGGGCGGCCGCTTTCATCCTGGTGGTGGCGGCCCGGAGCTGCAGCCGCCGCCTCCGCGTCTGGAGGTCGGGGCTTGAAGCTTCTGCATCCAGCTCTGGGTTGTCGAGCTGCCCGGCCTGGGAGCCGACCACGGGCGACAAGTACCTGCGAGCAGAGCAGCCCCGGAGGCTCCCGCCCCACCCCGCCCCCGGAGTCAGCCTCGCCCGCCCGCGCGCCCGCAGGCCACCGCCCGGCTCTCACCGGCCCGGTCCAGCTCCGGTCCAGCAAGGCGCCGCCTCCTGCGAGAGGTCCGCCGCCACGCGGGGGTCCCCGCACACAGTCTGGGGCAGTCCGGCCCAGATGCCCCTCACCCGGCCCAGACGCTCGCGGAGCTCCCACACCTGGACGTAAAGAGAGCCGGCCGGGCGGAGATGGAGCGCGCGCCCCTGTCCCCCGCGCTCGCGCCCCTGCCACGGCCGCCCGCCACTCACCAGCCGGGGCAGGCTGGAGCCCGCAGCAGTCGTCGGCCGCTCCTCCTCCGCCGCCGCCGCCGCCGCGGACCAGAAGCGACCCACGTCCTCCCTCGGGGCTGGGGCACGGCGGGCGCGAGTCCGCGCTGGCTGGGGGCTCCCGCATTCCTGGAATACCTTCGGCGCCGGAAGAGACCCCACACACAGTCATCCCTCAGTAAAACCCACACCCCAACACTCCAAACGTCCTTGACACCCCGGTTTATCCAGAGACCCTACAGTGTCTCCCTAACACCCCACACTGTCCCCCCACCCCAGGGCCTCCCCTCCACGTTTCTCCCTCCTGTTCTCCTGCCAACTCCCAGTCTGACACTCCCACCCTTCTTGTGGCCCCTGTACCTGGGCTGACACCCCTACACTGTTTTCCTGCAAATGCATCAAGCCTTCTGAGATCTTCACCCCGATGGACTGGGCCGCGAGCTCAAAAGAAAAGGGGCCTTGGATCTTGTCGGCCAGGAACAGGAGGCCATCTTGAAAGAGGGTAAGACAGAGAAAGGGTTAAATGAGGGGCTATCCAGGGAGATACTCACTGAAATGGGATGTTCCCACAAATCCTGACCCAGGCCTTGGAGGCAAGCAGCGGGTCTTAGATTAGGGGGAGAATTGACATGAGAAGAGCCCCCCCTCCTCCTCTCCACAGCATTGCTGAACGCTCCCTCCCCAGTCCACCCTGCCCACCCCACACAGACAGCTCTCTCAGGCTTTCCTGAATCCCCTCACCCAGATAGGGCCCCCAGTCAGGATCCAGTCCTTGGCTGCCGATACAGCCATAGGCCACGTTGAGGCAGAACCCCCGGCAGGGTGGCAGCGAGGGGACCCCCCGGCAAAGGGGGCAGCCCGTCAGACGCATCACGGCCCGCTTGCAGCCTTCGGACAGCGGCATCTGGGAGCAGAGAGCAGGGCTGTGTCATCCACAAACAACTGGCTGCCCTCAGCCAAGCCTGGTGCTGGGCACAGAGAGAAATCAAATACCCCACCCCGGCTTTCCCAGGCTCTAAGTGTGGAGCTGAATGTGAACCTCTAGGGTTGATGACCCCACGCGGCAGCAGGAGTGACCCCAGGACAGCGCCAGACCTGAGGAGGGAGGCTCCTAGGGGCCGGGTTGCACATCCTGCTTCTTGAGAGAGATGGACCAGGGGGGCAGTGAGGGGCCTGAGAAAAGGTTCAAGGACAAGAGTGAGCTCATCATGGTTGAGGGGAGAATGAGGATGCAGGAAGTAAGGCTGGGAGGCCAAGGAGAGAATGGGCAGTCGAGAGAGGGCCTTGAAGGCCAAACCAGGAATCTGGCCTCTAGGAGGGAGCCACTGAGGGGCCCTGGAGAAAACCCGCGGGGCCAGTGGGCCAGTCTCAGAGAGGCTGTGGAGATGAGCAGGTCAGAGAAGCTGGCAGAGGGTCAGTCATCAGAGGGCAGAAGAGGGTCAGAGGTGGGAGGGGTCATGGGTCACGATGCTGGAAAGACTGCAGTCTTCTTGATTTACCCAGGACGCCAGGGCTTCACGGCTGCTAAGGGAAGGCCAGGCCTCTCCTGCCAGCTGGCCCCTGACTCTTCTTCATGGGGCCTCTCCCACTTCCTTTCCCTCCCTGGGCCCCACCCATACTCAAGCCCCTTCTAACCTTAAGTGTTTCGCTGACCACATTTCTTCCAGTCTCCAGGCCTTGGACAAAGGCCCGGGCAGCCACCAGGGCCCGGGTTATCTGGAGGAAGGGAAAGGTGAGAAAAACCACCGGACTGTTGAGAGTCAGTCAACACTGGGGCCAAGAGACTGCACCAAAGAGATGAGCAGTGGGGGTAAGGTTTGTAGGTTATCTTGGGGTGATTAGGAATGTCAGGTGGTTCTGGGAGGCAGGTTCAAGAAGATCAAAGAATTCAGAGTCTGGCAGGACCAAGGGGAACTGGGCTTGGGAAGAGGTGGAAGGATTACATTTTACAGGACTTGGAGATAAAGGGACTTATATTTTAACAAATGCTGAATCTGAAGCCAGGAGACCTGAGTGTGAAACCTAGCTCCACCCCTTACTGGCTCTGAGACCTTAACCTCTTCAAGGTTCAGTTTTCTCATCTGTAAAATAGGAATGTGAACATCTACTTCATAGAGTTATGACAATTAAATGAGATACTATAAATGAAAATCCTTAGATAGTGTTGAACCGGCCTTCAATACACTCACAACTCACACTCATACTACACAGCTGAACCAGAGGAAGTCAAGATATTGGGAACAGGGATGAGTTGTCAGAAAGGGGGTTGGGGAGCAAGAGCAGATGAGTGGGTCAACCACTAGTATGAAACTAGGACACAGAATTGGGGGGCGGGGCTCCAGTCAAAGGAAACCAAGGAGATCTGGGTCAGGCAGAGGTGACTGGGGCTCAAGATAGGGATCACCAGGTCAGGGGCGACTGAGGCATGAAAAGGGGGTCACTGAGTTGGAGGTGAGTGGTACACAGTTCAGAGGTCACTAGGTCAAAGGTGGCTGAAGCTCAGGCGTTGGGGCCCCTCACCTGCAGGCGGAGGCGGCGGGGTGAGTCCCCAAAAGGCTTCAGAGAGTCATCAGCAGAAGAGGCCAGGCGTGTGAGGCAGAACAGGTAGTCGGGGGAGAAGATGTACTGTGGGTGCAGCAGGGGGAACATTTTCTCCAGGAGCTGAGCCCAGAAATCCACCAAGGCATCATCTAACCCCTCACCGGACCTCTCATAGTAGTCCCGTAGCCGAGAGAACAGACCACTGAACAAGGGGGTGTGCTGGGCATACAGGCGGCCGAAGGAGCGGTGGAAAAGCATGGACAGGGAGTGCTCACCTGAGGAGAGCATCTCCCGAAAAACCTCTGTGTCAAGTGCAGAGAAAGAGGTGTGAGGTGGGGTGAAGCCAGAGAAGGATGGAAAAGTGAAAAGGCAGAGGCAAGAAGAAATGGGCATGGGGAGAAAAAAGAAAAGACAAGTGAGTTAGAAATTAAGTAACCCTTAGAGGTCTGGGCAGACTGGGGTGGGGGGGAATGTGGGGCAGGACCCTGAGAGAGCACAGGGTGAGGAAGTGGGGGCTAAACCAGGGCTGGAGTGCCTTTGGGAGAAGTCAGGAGTAGGTACAGGATGCTTGTGGGGGTCATGAGCTCAGAGAGAAGGTATGAAGCCAGGTTTGGGGATGCCAGGTCCTCACCATCGAATTTTCTGTGTCGGGCAGCCAGTGTGTGAACCAAGAAGGAACCATTCTCCTCCACCAGGCCTCGGAAGGTGGCCTCAGTTTCCCAGGTCAGCCTCTGCTCTATCTCACTGGAACAGCAAGTGTACTCCTGGGGACAAATCCGGAGGTGTTCACCTGTACAGAGGAGACATGAAGGAATGGTGGGAAGTGCTGTCATGAAATTCCTTCCTTCTCCTGATCATCTCTGGGGGCCATCCTTTCTCTTCCAGCTGTCTGGTTTCTTTTCTATTGTCTGCCACCTCATTCCCACCTGGTCCTACCCCCTCCCTATTGTCCCCTCACCCATCCCAAGTGCACTGCCTTTAGGCATGGGATCAAATAGGAGTGGGCCAATTTAGTGATCAGAGAGTCCTCAGGTAGCCTGCCTAACACCACACACCCCAGGTCTCAAAGGACAAACAGGATGGTTTCAATGGGAAGAATGGGGTTTGGAGGGGTGAGGTTACCTGGTAAGAAAGAAAGCACTACTATACAAGGGACTCATGTTAATAGCGAGGGAAACAAATTAGGCTGTGAAGAAAGAAACACAGAGGGGTTGCTAATTACTAGAAAGGGATTCCTGGGGTGAGGGTGGAGTAAGAGAGCTGTTATGCGAAGGGGAGTGTTATTGTGATCCTGATAAAGAAGTTCCGGAGGAGAAGAGACATTATTACCGTGAGAGGAAAAGATTATTACAACGGCCACTCTGAAAGGGAAGAGAGTTATTGTGAGATGGGGAGGACCGGCCCCCGCCCCCTCCCTCGCCCCCAATTCTCTAGTCTCCCTCTTTCTCCTCACCTGAGATCAGGGCGGGAGGGAGTACGCTTAAGCTATATCCCCGGGCCCCCAGAATCTGCCGGGTCTCAGTGCAACTCCGGGTGACCTTTGCCTCGATACCGGGTCCAGGACCCGGACCGGGACAGAGGGGCAACAGCAGAAGCAGAAGAGAGCGCAGCGCGTACATAGCTGCTGCTGCCACCTTGGGACCGCAAAGTGGGTCGTAAGGAGGAAAGAAGAGCCGCCCGAACTCAGAAAGCCGGTTCTCTGCCACAGGACCGTCCCGCCGGCCAGAGAAAGAGCGCGACCTCCGAAAAGTGGACCTGGAGCACGATCGCTGGACCAAGACGGCATCTGCCGAGACAATGGGAGCGGGGAGCAGGACAGGAGGCGGGGCCCGGGGAGGGGCCCCGCCAATAATGGTAAGGAGCCGAGTTTAGGGGCGGGGTCAAGGAGAAATTAAGCCAATGTACTGGGGAAGCTCGGCCGCGGGGCGGGACTCGGCAGGACTGGGAGGTTAGGGGAGGGGTGTGGTCTTCCTCTGAGGCGTGGCTATCTACATCGAAAGGCGGGGCCTGAGTGGAACTCAGCCTATGGTAGTTGAGAAGCCAGATTAAAAGGAGTTACTACTGGGGCAGTGTGAAGCCCAGCCAATGGAGGGGGAATTTGGGGACAGGGGGCCGGGCTGGGGAGGAGCCAGGAGGAGCCGAGTTAAAGCAGGTGGCCAGCGCGCGGGAGCCCACGTGATACGGCACGCCTGCAAGCTGGAGAGCTCGTGGCAGCACGAGGCTGCTGGAGTAGCGTGGCTAGAACGTGGTAAGCACGAGCTCGCACACGCTCAAGTCTCGCGACAACTTGCAACCCTGAGACAAACCGTTGGGCTCGCGACTTCCCGCGTTTTTCTCTATTCGTCTGCCACCCAGAGGGACGGAGGCGTGACCACAGAGACCTAAGGGACCCGAGACGCTGACTTTTCCTCAACGCTGCTCGGCCAGAAGTCGCTGTCCCGGGCTGTCACAGTGAGGCTCCCCTTTCACCCAGGCGTTCGCCATCCCCCGCACTCCAGCCCTGAGAGAAGACCCTCCCTCCCCCACGGCTTCTTCCACAGAGGCCAGGAATCCCAGCCCCGGAAGACAGATAATCACTCTTTTGAGCGGTTAGACGGCTCTGTAACCCAAATAAAGTAACCGAGGGTGGGGTACAGAGCCTCTCTTCTGGAGAAGTGGAGAACACGAGCCTTCCGTGACTCCTTCAGCGTTTCCGGCCCGGTTTTGATGGCGCCTCCAGACCCAAATCCTTAAGCGCTTCCCAGTCTGGTCCTTGGGGGGGTGGGGTGGAGCAGGTTCTAACCTTGAAGAAATGGAAGTTTATGAGCTTCTGTAGCGGGATGGGGGGTTATCTTCTTATTTTTCTTGTCTTTTGTTTGCCCCGTGGGAGCTGGTTCCGTTTCACAGGCTCCTCTGAATTGTGGGGAGAGAAGGGTGTGTTTTAAACTACCCTAATGTGTGCCTTGGGGACTTGGGGAGCACCTTCAAACCTGAGGATGGCGTTGGGGCAGTGGCGTCTTTAACTCCCTGATGCCTTGGGTCAGGACCTTCTCGGTCGTTTTTTTTTTTACATATTGAAAAAAAAAAAAAACGGTTTTCAATGTGCCAATCTCTCCTGTATAGCAGTGACTCAGTTATACACAGACATGGATTTTATTTTTGCCGTGGACTATTTTTGAAATCTTTAAAAAAATAATTCGTTATTTATTTTTGGCTGGGCCTTCATTTCTGCCAAGGCTTTTCTCTAGTTGTGGCGAGCAGGGGCTACTCTTCAGTTGCAGTACCAGGGCTTCTCATTGCGGTGGCTTGTTTTGTTGAGGAGCACAGGCTCTAGGCCGAGTGGGCTTTAGTAGTTGCGGCTACTGGGATCTAGAGCACAGGTTCCTTAGTTGTGGCATGGGTTTAGTTGCCCCACAGCATGTGGGGTCTTCCTCGACCAGGGATGGAACCCATGCCACCTGCACTGGCTGGCCGATTCTTTATCACTGAGCCACCAGGGAAGACCCATTTTTGAAGTCTTTATTGGTAACAGTATTGTTTCTGTTTTATGTTTTGGTTTTTTGGCTGGGAGGCATGTGGGATCTAGGTCCCTGACCAGTGATGGAACCATTGCCCACCCCCCACCCCCATTGGCAGTTGAAGTTTTAACCACTGGACCCGACGGAAAAGTCCAAAACATACACATTTTGTAAAAAAAAAAAAAAAATTCTCTTCCTTTATGGTTTATCCATAAAGCTGTGCTTTTCTGTTTTTTTTAATTGACGTATAGTTGATCTACAGTGTATTATCCCTCTTATTTTGCACCCCCTCCAACTCTCTGAATTCCAGAGCCATTCCCATGTAAAGAAGGGGGATCGTTGGAGCTGGGAATGGAGACGTGATAGGTGAGGACGTCTTCCCCTCTCTTCCCTCTCTCCCGAAGCTGGACCACCATGCCCACCCATCGGTCGTCCTCCTCCCGGAGCAGCGCGTCCTCGCCGCTGCGCAGAGCAGTAGCGGCTGGACGGAGGAGCGTGTCTGCTTCTAGTTCTTCTGTGTCTGTCGCTATGCCCTGCGATGACCTGGACTTGGAGCAGAATTCAGAGGGGTGAGTGGAGTTGGTGAGAAATGGTTGCGTCGTCCTCAGGTTTTTCCCATTTTCATTTTCCAAACGAGCAAACTGGCAACACGTGTGTGACAGAAAAGCTAGGAGATGCTGTGCTGGTTCAGAACAGTGACCCACGCCTGCCCCCAGTTCTGCTGGGTGCCATTCGGCTGCCCTAGGTGTTGGAAGCATCAAGAATAATCCATCCTGTTATAAATCCATCATCCATCTTGTCTAAACTTTTCTTGAACACGTTCGTATGTTCAGCAGGGACAGCCTCTGGTAAGGGCCCAGACATGGGGGAAAGGGGAAAGAGTTCTTTATTTGGTGCCAGAAAGCTAGTATATCCTTTTTAGTTGATGTCCTGTAATTCCTTCATTTGGGGTTATAAAAACAAGTCCTTATCTGTTGGCATTTATGACCTTATTCTGTGATGGTTATAAGAGTACATCTTGGGTTAAAAAAAATTTTTTTTTAATTTTTCCAAGAAAAAAAGTTTCATACAAGGTCTAATTTATCCCCTGGTAATTTTTTTTATTGAGGTATAGTTGATGTTTAATATTAAATAAGTTTCAGACATACAACATAATGATTCACCATTTTTAAAGTTTATATTTCAGTTATAGTTATAAAAATATCCCCTGGTAATTTTAATTGGTCTCTTCTAAATCATTGTGCTATTTACGACCAGGTTATATTTATTTTGTACGTTTTAGTCAGTAAGAGGTGTATTTGTTTTAAGGGCTGAAATTTAACACCAGGAACAGATACAATCTCCTGTTTGAGTATTCAGGTCAGTCACTCAATTGTGTCCAACTCTTTGCGACCCCATGAATTGCAGCACGCCAGGCCTCCCTGTCTATCACCAACTCCTGGAGTCCACTCAAACTCATGTCCGTCGAGTCGGTGATGCCATCCAGCCATCTCATCCTCTGTCGTCCCCTTCTCCTCCTGCCCGCAAACCCTCCCAGCATCAGGGTCTTTTCCAATGTTTGTGTATTAGTATTAATCAAACACGACTTCCTGACCCATGCTAATTTTTCTCTACACAGCAGTGATCCCCCTGACTGCCTACTTGAATATCTTTATCTTTTTTTTTTTAATGTGGATATTAGGAAAGAGCTTGGAGAAGGAAATGGCAACCCACTCCAGTGTTCTTGCCTAGAGAATCCTGTGGACAGAGGAGCCTGGTGGGCTACTGTCCATAGGGTCGCATAGAATCGGACACGACTGAAGCGACGTAGCAGCAGCAGGAAAGAGTTGTGCTTCATCTCCCTCAGTGCCTCATTCTTCATTTCCAATGCTTTCTTTAAGTGAAAGTTTTCCTTTAAGACATTGTCTGTACTTCCTGGCAACAGTCAGCTCATCTCTCCTTAAAATCTGAATATATTTTTCTCATGGAGAGGGGTATATAGTTAGAGAAATTATAATTCATTTACCCTTTTATATATAGGGACTAGGGTGTTGTATCTAAGCAGAACCACACTCCTTCATAGGAATAGTGAATCTTTGTCAGCTGGTGAAGGCAGTGATTTCGAAGACAGCTTGAGACGAAATGGGAAGAAGAGAGCAGCAAAACGGCCACTCAAACCAACCCCAGTGAGTCAGTTTTGTTTTTGAACCTGGTCTGGGAAGCAGTGAAAGAAAACCTAGAAGAGGCTCAGGTGATATGCTTGATGAAAGGACAGGGCTTAAAGAGTCTTAAGGGACAGAAGTAGAAAGAAGGCAGATTTTGAAGAGCGGAGAATACAGTATTAGTGTATAGAGGAACAGGAATGGGGTTAAGGAACTTTTAAAAGGAGATAAGGCTAGAAATAATAAAGTTTACAATATAAAAATCCTTGATTCCTAAGCTGAGTCAGTAACTCAAATTCTGCTGTGGAATTGGCAGCTTAAGCCTAACTGTGATTTTGATGAGAGTAAGGGTTAATGTCACTTTTACTTTTTAAAAACATTCATGATTTCTTTATACTAACTAGGCAAAACTTCCAAAGAAGAGGTCCCGAACAGTACGTGCTCATGGTCAGAAAGAGTCAGAGCCACCAGCCGGTGATCTCTTTGATGCTGTGAAAGGTGCCAAAAGTGACATGCAGGTAAAACAGAGTATCTCACCTCTGTTCTTGATACCATTGCATTCCTTGTTGGGTGGAATGATAACAAATGTCTACAAACTTGATTTAGTGAACATAACTGGTATCAAGAAAGGCAGATTAGGCCACAGAGTGAATCCTTAGAGTGATGTAAGGGAGATCTTGCATGAGGGGGAATGTTCCTTTCTTAATAGTATCACAGATGAGGGTGGGTCTTTTATTGATTGATGGAAGGGGCAAGGAAAGGCATTGGATAATTTAGAGAAGCAGCTTGGATTCGGGTGGCAACGTGTTCACCCCTGTCACTTTTAGCTCCACTTTGACAATTATACCTATCCATTCTGCCTGTGTCTCCTTTAACAAGAGAGATTGATTTACATTTATTGTCAGTACTGATATATATCAATTTATTTCTACCATCTTATGTGGTTTTGCTTTATATTGCCTTTTCTGTTTCTTTCCTCTTCTCTTTTTTCCTTTTGAATGTTTTATCTCATACAAGAACCTAAGCACATTTTAATTCCAGTTAGTCCTTACAGTTTACATACTGTTTGGGTTTTTTTTTTTTTTGGCAGTGCCAAATGACTTTCAGGATCTTAGTTCCCTGACCAGGGACTGAACCCATGCCCCATACAGTGGAAGTGCGGAATCCTAATGACTGGACTGCCAGGGAAGTCCCCTTACATGCTGTTTGTTGTGCAGTGTTTTAGTTCTGTCCTTTCCTTCTCTTCCACATTTACATCATTGTTTTAAATAATGTTTGTTCATACTTATCTACATTTTAATCATTTTTTGTTCATCATTTCTTCTTTTTAAAAGTATTTATTTGTGCTGGGTCTTAGTTGTGGCTCTCATGATCTTCAATCTTCGTTGCAATATGCAAACTCCTAGTTGCATCATTTCCTTTCAAATCTGAAATCTTCCACACAGAATCATTCTCTTGCTGTCCAGAGTTTATGTTTTAAAATTTCTTTTAAATAGTTTATTAACAAACTCATTGTTTGCTTGTATAAAATGTCTTTTACCCTTGTTCTCAAAAGGTTGCTGGGTATCAAATTCTAAGATGACTTTTTTCTCTCGGCATATTAAAAAGATTATTCCACTTCCTTCTAATTTCCTGTATTGCTGTTGGAAGTCAGCAGTCAGTCTAAGCACTATCTAATACAACAGTCTCTAATGATGGAGATGTCTGTATCACTGTTGTCTGGTACAGTAGTCCACCAGCCACACATGGATTTTTGATATGTGGCTGTGTGACTGAGGAACTACATTTTTAATGTTTGATTTAATTGAATAACCATATACAGCTGGGACTGTTTTTATGCACATCTAACTTGTAAATGTTTTTGTTTGTAAATGTTAAATGCATGTCCTTTGTAAGTAATTTTTTTTTTTTTTTACTTTTTTTTACAGTTTTCAAGACTGTTTTGCTTTTGCATTCTTATGTATTATAGGATGTTCAGAGGTATAAGCTTTTCTTTTCATGCTTGAGATCAGTTAGGTTCCAGGCTCTGAGGACTGGTGTCTTTTGACAACTATGCAGAAATCTTTTTCAATGTTGCCTCTTTCTCATTCTGTTAATCCCCTTCTGGAATTCAATTAGACATCATTAGAAATTCTCGCTCTATTCTCCATGTCTTAATAACTTTTATCCTTATTTTTATTTGTCTCTCTGGGCTGCATTTTGGATACTTTCTTTGACTTAATCTTCTATTTCACTTGTGTTGTAGCCAGTCTGTTTTTAATCCATTCATTAAAGTTTCAAATTTTATTTATTATATTTTGCAATTCTACACATTTTGTTTGACCCCTTTCCAAAGTTAATTGTTCTTTGCTTGTATTTTCAAGCTTCTCTTTTATTTAATCATGGAAATAATAATTTTATAATCTGTGATAACTTCAGTGTTTGAAGCCTGTGAATGTAATTCTGTTTTTCTGCTAATTGTTAGTTTTAGTGTCTTTGTTTCTTTGTTGGGGTCTTTGTCAGGGTCTTCAGTGCTGGGTCTTTGTTGCTGTGTGCAGGCTTTCTCTAGTGGTGGCAAGCAGGGGCTGTGTTCTAGTTGTGGTGCGCAGGCTTTTCATTGTGGTGGCTTCTCTTGTTGCAGAGCACGGCCTGTAGAGTGCAAGTTTCTATAGTTGTGGCATGCATAGGTTTATTTGCCCCATGGCATGTGGAATATTCCCACACTAGGGATTGAACCCATGTCCCCTGCATTGGCAGGTGGATTCTTAACCACTGGACCACCAAGGAAGTCTGAAGAATCACTTTTAATTAAATTCTGATTGAAATTATTTTGATTTTATTGGTAACATGGATCTGGGCTACAAATCTAGATATGGGAACTGGCTAATGGTTGTGAATTCTGAAGGAACAATTCTTTTTTTCTTCTACCCCACACTAAGGTCATAACAAGCTAGTTGTCCTGCTTCCCCTTCTGACCTGTAAATTTATTTCTCATTCTTGCTTTCATGAAGGTGTGCCTCTTTGCAGGAGCCTCCTTTTGGACTCCTCTCTTTGGAAGCCCTTTAGCCCTTGTCTCCTGCGCTCTACATTCTATACATCCATCTGGACAGAAAGTTAGGGTTCCTGGGGTTTAGTAGACCCTCAGCGAAAGCTTGCTTATCTCCCAGAATTGCGACCTTCGCTTCCATTTTTGTTTTTATGGAATTCTACCTTTCATTCTCGTTTAATAGTACATTTTAAAAGATGTTTGTAATATTTTAATCAGAAGTTTAGATGCTTCAGTTAGGAAGCTTATACAGAATTTCTAGTCTATCATTGCCAGAAATAGAAATCATCCACACTGTTTCCCTAGTCTTTGGTAGATGAGTGGCTGGATAGCTACAAGCAAGACCAGAATGCAGCTTTCCTGGAGCTGGTGAACTTTTTCATCCGGTCTTGTGGGTGTAAAGGTGAGGAAACGTCGCCCTTTTCTAACCCCCAGCCTTTTTCTCTTATAAAAGTTTTTCTTGTGAATATGAGTGGGATTAGGCATTCCTAAAGAGAGAGGGTAAAGTGTAAGAAAAGTTTCCCTTATTTAACTACTATCAACTACACTGTTGATTGGTAAATAGGAAGTGATCCAGTAATGAAATGTATTGGTTTGGAGACAGAATCCTTTGGAGAAAAATAAATAAACGTACTAATGTGATGATATTTACAGATTTGGACCATCAGACTTTTCTTTTCTCTAAGTAATCTTTTATTTTCTTATCCCTTATTTCTCAGCCATTTCATCTCATATTTCTCTACTGAAACTGTGGCCCTAGGTCCCCAAAGGCCATGACCTAATTTACTGGGGCAGATAGTGTTATAAGACTGCAGGTTGTGTTATAAGAACCTGGCATAGTTTTCTTGCTTTCTTTTTGTTTGGAATTTTTTTTTTAACTGTAGTTTTTTGCTGTTTGATTTCCTGGGGTTTTCTAGACAGGTTGCCTTATATCAGATATTCCAGTTAGATGGTAGCAGATTTATGACTATGATTCAGGTCTTCTGATTCCCCACCTGAGTTCTTTTCAATATATTTTTAAGATCATCTTCAAATGTTTATGTAAATGGTCATGGTATCTGTTATTTTCCTTCTAAGTACCTCATGTCCTCCATTCCTCAGGCACTGTGACCCCTGAGATGTTCAAGAAGATGTCTAACTCAGAGATCATCCGGCACCTAACTGAACAGTTTAATGAGGTGGGAGAAGACTATCCAGGCTTATTGCAAAATACAAGGCCCATTGCCCTCTTCTTTTCAATTCTGGGAAATAGGATAGCTTTTAAAAGGAGGGGTTTAATTTCTTGGGAGCAAAAGGGACCTATACACATTATCCAAATATGCCTACAGAGTTGAGAATAAGATATAAGAGATACATTTTTTTACTATATGGTTGGGTTTTGACATCCAGTCTCTATGACTCCATGGACCTGGTAGTAACTCTCCCATCTTTTTCATAAACTCTTCTTTAGGATTCGGGAGACTATCCTCTGACAGCTTCAGGCCCATCCTGGAAGAAGTTCCAGGGCAGCTTTTGTGAATTTGTGAGAACATTGGTCTACCAGTGCCAATACAGCCTCCTCTATGATGGCTTCCCCATGGACAACCTCATCTCCCTGCTCACTGGGCTCTCAGACTCCCAGGTCCGTGCCTTCCGTCATACTAGCACCCTGGCTGGTAAGCAGTCACTGTTAACTCTGTAAATGTTCTCATGGGAACTTCCCTCTGTTCTCTAGTCCTGGGTCTTCTTTCCTGCCTGCATTCTAGCTCTTTACTTCAAGGTCATGCTTATTTTGTCCTGAACCTTCATCCAGTTTCTCATTAGTGGGATTGTAAAAAGCGGTGGGTCACTGTGACAGTTTCCAGCTTTAACATGTTTCTCAGAGCTCACTGAGAACAGGCTAAGGATTAAAACAAGCCCAAAAGAGGGAGAGAAAAAGCCCACTCGAGAACAGTGAGTCTTGGGATTTTAGGGTTGCCCTGCTCTAGCTTTTCTCTTTCACTGCCCCTTTTTTCTTCTTTTTTGAACATACCATCCCTCCTCTCACTTAATGATTTTCTTACCTTATTTTTTACTGACTCAAAGCCATGAAGCTGATGACCTCCCTGGTAAAAGTTGCCCTCCAGCTGAGTCTGCACAAGGACAACAATCAGCGTCAGTACGAGGCTGAACGGAACAAGGGGCCGGGACAGAGAGCGCCTGAGCGGCTCGAGAGCCTGCTGGAGAAACGCAGGGAGGTGAGCCGTTTCCCGCCTCCCGCTTCCATCACCGCTGCTTATCACAGCACCTTATCAGTCCCCCAGCTTCTCTCTCCCAGGCAAGCTTTCAGACTATGAATGATGGAGTTTGGCAGTAGTTTAATAGACCCATCCTGTTAGAGGTCATTGTATATTCAGCTTGTTTCTGGGATGTGGGCTCAAGAGAGCATTTCTAGTTTAGAGTAAATTTTAAAAAAGTTCTCTGTAATTCCACTTTTGCTCAGTTTCTCTTGTCTGCATTCATTATCACAAGTGTTTAAGTGTGTGCCTGCATCTTGTGCAAGGAATTAAGCACTGACTTTCATCTCAAGTGTTATGGTATGCAGGAGTGCTGGGAGGCTAACTGCTGGTGGAGGGGGCCAAGTTTTCAAGGAATGTAAAGGACACAGGCCTGTCATTCACTCCTGGATTTAAATTCTGTTCCAGTTAGCTATTAGCTCCATGGCCTTACATAACCTCTAAGCTTCAGTGTCCTTTCCTTTCAAAAGGGGGTAATTCTTTTTGTGAGGACTAAATGAGACGAGTAAATTGCCTACCTTGGCACATAGTAGGTACTTGCTTTGATTCCTTTTAAACCTGAAGAAGACCACCAGAGGACATAACTCCCAACAAAATCTCTTACACTGTGTAAACCTTCAAACAGTTGTGTATGTCATGAGACTTAACACTGATTTTCCCCTCACTTCTCCAGAGTATCTGAGACCTCCCCAGCCATGAGGTTGGCAGGACTCACCATGTCTAACTCTGCCAACTGACCGTTTTCCAGCTCTCATCAAAGATCTCTTCCATGCTAAATCATTAGAGGAGGGAACGTTTTACTTCCCGGATTCTCTTTTGCTATTTTCACTGTCAGTGTGATCTTAAATTGTATATATGTTAAGTCTGTTTCAAATCTTACATACACTCGTGTGATTGTTTTATTTGGACTTCTCTGGCTCTTGCTTCATCAGTTGTAGTTTTACTTTCTTTAATTTCTCCCTCCCCACTGGTTTCCTCTCTCCAGTTATAAATGTATATAAGCATTTGAATCTATCCTTAATCCTTCTGTATAAGTTACTCCATTTCTATCCTTTTAGTATTTCCTTACGTCCCTAATATCCAACTGAATCCTTTTTGCTACCTAGCTTCTACCCCCATTTTTTTCTTTCAAATTGTTCTCTCCAAACCAGTAACTTCTAAATCCCTATAGCCAAAATAAATAAATAAATAAATAAATCCCTGTAGCCAGTGGCCTTTTTTCAGTCTCCCTTTTTGACTACGTAAAATTTGGTATTGATGGACCCACCTTTCTTCCTTCCCTCTCTGTCTTTCCTTTTTCTTTAAATATGAAAATCTTCAAATGTTCAAAAAGATAATACTGGTAGAATGAACACCACATATGGACTATCTAGATTTAACAACTATTATTTCGTTCAGTCACTCAGTCATGTATTTCACTATACTTCATCTATTTTTTTTCTTGCTATTTTTCTTACTAAATTGTGGATGTGTGTGTGTGTGCTCAGTCATGTCCAATTCTCTGCGGCCCCATGGATTGTAGCCCTCCAGGCTCCTCTGTCCATGGGATTTTCCAGGCAAGAATACTGGAGCCAGTTTCCATTTCTTACTCCGGGGGATCTTCCCAACCCAGAGATCAAACCACATCTCTTGCACCTCCTGCATTGGCAGGTGGATTCTTTACCACTAGCGCCACCTGGGGATATTTTAACCTAAAGATTTGAATATGTCCTCTAAAAAACATGTTCATGTATTATCCCAATACTATTTTCCTATCCAAAAACATTAACAGTGATTCCCCAATATTTTCTAATCCAAACTCCTATTTAAAATTTTCCATTTGTCCCCAAAATGCCTTTCCAGTTCAGTTCAGTTGCTCAGTCATGTCCAACTCTTTGTGACCCTACGGACTGCAGCACGCCAGACTTCTCTGTCCATCACCAACTCTCGGAGTTTGCTCAAACTCATGTCCATCGAGTCAGTGATGCCATCCAACCATTTTATCCTCTGTTGTCCCCTTCTCCTCCTTCCTTCAATCTTTCCCAGCATCAGGGTCTTTTCTGATGAGTCAGTTCTTGGTGGCCAAAGTATTGGAGTTGCCGCTTTCAGCATCAGTCCTTCCAGTGAACACTCAGGACTGATCTCCTTTAGGATGGACTGGTTGGATCTCCTTGCAGTCCAAGGGACTGTCAAGAGTCTTCTCCAACACCACAGTTCAAAAGCATCAGTTCTTCTGCGCTCAGCTTTGTAATCCAACTCTCACATCCATACATGACTGCTGGAAAAACCATAGCTTTGACTAGATGAACCTTTGTTGGCAAAGTAATGTCTCTGCTTTTTAATATGCTGTCTAGGTTGGTCACAGCTAGTCTTCCAAGGAGTAAGTGTCCTTTAATTTCATGGCTGCAGTCACCATCTGCAGTGATTTTGGAACCCAAGAAAATAAAGTCTGACACTGTTTCCATGCCTCTTATATTTGGTTAATTCCAGCCAGGATTTAGTTAAGGACTGTGCTTTTCATTTGGTCTTTTTGTGTTTCTTAAGTTTGCCCCGGCCTCCACTTTCCCCTCTGGATATTGATTTATTGAGTTGGGCCAGTTGTCTTCAAGAATGTCGCCTTGCAATTCTGCTTCCCTGTTACCTGTTAGGGTAACAGATAACATCTAATCTAGGGTTTCTCAACAGTGCCATTTAGGAGTCTGTTCTGGCATTGTTTCAGCATATGTGCTCAGTTGTGTCCAACTCCTTGAAACACCATGGACTGTAGCCTGACAGACTCCTCTGTCCATGGGATTTTTCAGGCAAGAGTACTGGAGTGGGTTGCCATTTCCTCCCCCAGGGGATCTTCCCATCCCAGGGATCAAACCCATAGCATCCCTGGCCTCTATCCACTAGGTGGCGGTAGTACCCAGGTCATAATAAAACTGTCTTCAGGCTTTGCTAAAGTCCTGTGGGAACCCCAAATTGAGAATCACTGATCTAATTGCTTCCTTCTCTCTCTCTTTTTTGTTCCATTTCTTTTCTCAAACAAATTGCATTTATTAAAAAAATTTCCCCAATTGATGTTCGTAGAAAACATGTATAACTACCAGCTAGGACCTCTGAATAGCCAAAGATGGTCAAAATAACAAGACACAGAAAGGATAATACTTTTTTAAAACAAATCTCTGAGGCATTAGTTGACTATACAGCTTCTTCCAGAATTAGAAGGTTTAATCTTTTTCTATTCTGATAACTTATTGGCTACATTTTCTCTTTCTCTGCTTTATACTGATGAGCTTAATTAATTACTTTCATTTGCCAACGCCAGCTTTCTCATCAGCTTTGTATTTTAGAGGTATCTTACTGACTGCCTGACTTCACTGGGCTATCCACTATCACATGTGCATGAGTAGGTGATACTCTTTTCCAAGGTATCTAGTCCATACCCTCCAAAGGAAAGAGAGAAAGTGGCTTGTAACTTTCATACCTTATTTATAGATGTGTATTTTTCATGTGGAGAAAAAAGTTATTTGGGGAGATAGAAGTATTGTGAACATGTGGGAAATAAAGTCAAATGACCTGAAAATAAAGAAGGTTTAAAAGGGAACATAGGATACAAGAGGTTCAGACTGTGCCCTGTAATTAATAGGAAACAGGTGAATGTCATATTTTTCTTTTTTTTTTGTATATACACCTGTTTTGTTTTTTTTTCCATTTATTTTTATTAGTTGGAGGCTAATTACTTTACAACATTGCAGTGGTTTTTGTCATACATTGAAATGAATTAGCCATGGATTTACATGTATTCCCCATCCCGGTCCCCCCTCCCACCTCCCTCTCCACCCGATCCCTCTGGGTCTTCCCAGTGCACCAGGCCCGAGCACTTGTCTCATGCATCCAACCTGGACTGGTGATCTGTTTCACCCTAGATAATATACATGTTTCAATGCTGTTCTGTTGAAACATCCCACCGTCGCCTTCTCCCACAGAGTCCACAAGTCTGTTCTATACATCTGAGTCTCTTTTTCTGTTTTGCATATAGGGTTATCATTACCATCTTTCTAAATTCCATATATATGTGTTAGTATACTGTAATGGTCTTTATCTTTCTGGCTTACTTCACTCTGTATAATGGGCTCCAGTTTCATCCATCTCATTAGAACTGTTTCAAATGAATTTTTTTTAATGGCTGAGTAATATTCCATGGTGTATATGTACCACAGCTTCCTCATCCATTCGTCTGCTGATGGGCATCTAGGTTGCTTCCATGTCCTGGCTATTATAAACAGTGCTGCCATGAACATTGGGGTGCACGTGTCTCTTTCAGATCTGGTTTCCTCGGTGTGTATGCCCAGAAGTGGGATTGCTGGGTCATATGGCAGTTCTATTTCCAGCTTTTTAAGAAATCTCCACACTGTCTTCCATGGCTGTACTAGTATGCATTCCCACCAAAAGTGTAAGAGGGTTCCCTTTTCTCCACAGCCTCTCCAGCATTTATTGCTTGTAGACTTTTGGATAGCAGCCATCCTGACTGGCGTGTAATGGTACCTCATTGTGGTTTTGATTTGCATTTCTCTGATAATGAGTGATGTTGAGCATCTTTTCATGTGTTTGTTAGCCATCTGTATGTCTTCCTTGGAGAAATGTCTGTTTAGTTCTTTGGACCATTTTTTAATTGGGCCATTCATTTTTCTGGAGTTGAGCTGCAGGAGTTGCTTGTATATTTTTGAGATTAATCCTTTGTCTGTTGCTTCGTTTGCTATTATTTTCTCCCAATCTGAGGGCTGTCTTTTCACCTTGCTTATAGTTTCCTTTGTTGTGCAAAAGCTTTCAAGTTTCATTAGGTCCCATTTATTTTTGCTTTTGTTTCTAAAATTCTGGGATGTGGGTCATAGAGGATCCTGCTGTGATTTATGTCGGAGAGTGTTTTGCCTATGTTCTCCTTTAGGAGTTTTATAGTTTCTGGTTTTACATTTAGATCTTTAATCCATTTTGAGTTTATTTTTGTGTATGGTGTTAGAAAGTGTTCTAGTTTCATTCTTTTACAAGTGGCTGACCAGTTTTCCCAGCACCACTTGTTAAAGAGGTTGTCTTTTTTCAATTGTATATCCTTGCCTCCTTTGTCGAAGATAAGGTGACCATAGGTTCGTGGATTTATCTCTGGGCTTTCTATTCTGTTCCATTGATCTATATTTCTGTCTTTGTGCCAGTACCATACTGTCTTGATGACTGTGGCTTTGTAGTATAGTCTGAAGTCAGGCAGGTTGATTCCTCCAGTTCCATTCTTCTTTCTCAAGGTTACTTTGGCTATTCGAGGTTTTTTGTATTTCCATACAAATTGTGAAATTATTTGTTCTAGTTCTGTGAAAAATACCGTTGGTAGTTTGATAGGGATTGCATTGAATCTATAGATTGCTTTGGGTAGTATAGCCATTTTGACAATATTGATTCTTCCAATCCATGAACACGGTATATTTCTCCATCTTTTTGTGTCCTTTTTGATTTCTTTCATCAATGTTTTATAGTTTTCTATGTATAGGTCTTTTGTTTCTTTAGGTAGATATACTCCTAAGTATTTTATTCTTTTTGTTTCAATGGTGAATGGTATTGTTTCCTTAATTTCTCTGTTTTCTCATTGTTAGTGTATAGGAATGCAAGAGATTTCTGTGTGTTAATTTTATATCCTGCAACTTTACTGTATTCGTTGATTAGCTCCATATTTTTCTAATATTTCTGTGGCCTTGAACTGTTGGGGAACATGAGAGATTGACCTGTTCCTCCCCATCCTCCAGCTTCAAGAGCATCAAGAGGAGATTGAGGGGATGATGAATGCCCTTTTCAGGGGTGTCTTTGTACATCGGTACAGGTGAGTTACTGGGCTCCTCTCATTGAAGCAGCTGGGTCCTCAGTTACAGAGTCTGTAGAAATAATGAGGTCCCCTCCTAACCATGTTATCTGGTTAGTCCCACAGCTCACACAGCTGGGAAAAAACTCTTTAACAAATGTTCCAAATAAGGTTTAATTTATTCCTGCCTACAAAGGATTGTATAAACTCTTCTGGGAGGGAAGATAAGAGCATCAGGCTTTGATGAGTATTCTGCTCCAACTTTGCCCAAGACCTCCCCTCCCCCATCTTCCTGGGGCTTGAGCCTTGAGAGGACAAGAGGAGAGAGCCAAAAGCAGGGTCTTTCTGAGGGTTTACAGCTCTGCAGGCCTTTTCCCAGCCCACTTCACCCTGCCTTTCACTGTGCTAAAGGCAGGGGAGTTTTATACTGGGTAAACAGCTGGTAGAATTAAGTTAAGGAGTGTATCCCACTCTTACCTAGATTTCAACCTCTGCCTTTCAGAACCCTTCAACTGATTTAATCTTTCCTTGAAGTGGAATCAACACACACACGTGGATATATTGTACAACATAGAGACTATAACCCATCGTTTTACAATAAATGAAACATAATCTTTAAGAATTATGAGTCACTGTTGTACACCTGAAACTTATGTTGTATATCAGCTGTATGTCAGTTCACCACACATGCAGTTGGGCTGATAAAGATTCCAAAATCAGTTTTTAAAAGGGGCATGGAAGATAAATTTTAATGATTGGTTACAGAAGGGGACTGTTCACTTTTTAATGTATTTTATTTACATTGGGAGGAGGAAGTGAAAGGGCTAGTCCTTGATGTTTAGTCAAGAAAATAGACTCTTCTGTGACAAACATATATCTGCTAGGATGGAAAGTCAGTTTGGAGAGAAGGTGAAAAGGGTCAGTTTTGTCTCTGTGCCTAGGGATGTCCTTCCTGAGATCCGTGCTATCTGCATTGAGGAGATTGGGTCTTGGATGCAGAGCTACAGCACCTCTTTCCTCACTGACAGCTACTTAAAATATATTGGCTGGACCCTGCATGATAAGGTGAGAGTTGAGTCAGTCCTCTTCCCTGCCCCAGGATGCTTCAGCTTTTCTTGATCTCACAACTTAGGTGTTTCACTAGTGATCAGTGATGAACTCATCAAGACACTGAACCTCAAAACTCCCCTAGTACTGGGGAGGGTAGGAGAAGTTAGGGGAGAGACGGGTATATTTAGGGGACTAAATGCTTTAAAACAGAGTTGAGGGGAGAAAGACTTTCCCTATGAAAAGGCAAGAAAGTTAATTGATAGGGTGGTAATACAAGTCCTGGGGTGGTAACCAAAAGATCCTTTTAATCAGGATTGCTGGATTCTGCTGAAAAGGAGAATTTGGGGTTTTAAGTGAGAAGACAGTCATTCATTCTCTTTGAGACATCTCAGAGTCTTCAATATAGAGGACACCCAGGCCCAGAATGAGCAATCTGAGAGGGAAGTAGGGACATCCAGTAGGGGTAAGTAGAGGAGGAGTCATTCATATTTCCATTCACCTCAGTAGCATCGAGATGTGCGTCTGAAGTGCTTGAAGGCTCTGCAAGGGCTGTATGGCAACCAAGACTTGACTGCGCGCCTGGAGCTCTTTACCAGCCGCTTTAAGGTAAAATCAGGACTGTGCTCCTGTGCTTGGCTCTGTCTGTGGTTCCCATTTCCTCACCTCATTTTTCCACTTCTATTGCTTTTATGTATCCGTGGCTATCCCAGTATCTGCTTCTACACCCCCCCTTTAGGAATCTCTCAAATTCTAAGAGGATGGTGTTTGGGGATGGATACAAGGAGGTACTGAGTGATGTTCTCCTTCTTACAGGACCGGATGGTTTCCATGGTCATGGACCGAGAGTATGACGTGGCAGTGGAGGCCGTTAGGTTGCTGATACTTATCCTCAAGTGAGTCCTGGGAAGTGGAGAGACAGGCATCTCAGGGTTCTTTTCAGTATCAGACAGGCCCTTCCAGAGTTTCTCTCCCTCCACCCATTGTAGGTTGACTCTTGTCTGTGTACAGGTTGAAAGACAGAGATCATTCCCAAGTTGCAAGAGCTCCAGGGGGGATATTTCCCATCTTCTCTAACTCTCCATATCCCTCTGTCTCCCATTCGTCTATTTGCAAGTTCTTTGTGAGTTAATCCTTGTTGGCTTTGCCTTGTTTCTAACCTTAGTTGTGCCAGAGGACAACATCCATATCCACCTGCTCTTTCTGCTTTTCTCCCGGCAGGAGCATGGAAGGGGTGCTGACAGATGCAGACTGTGAGAGCATCTACCCTGTTGTCTACGCCTCTAACAGAGCCCTGGCCTCTGCTGCAGGGGAGTTTCTGTACTGGAAGTGAGCGGGGCTCCTTTTGTTTGTTTCTTTAACACCATCTTCTCTTGGTTTCTCCCCATCATCTGCTGCTGCTCTAAGCTCCTCTCCCCAACCCATTAGTCTCCCTTGGTGTCTCCGTCCCTCCTCAATTCCTTGAGACTTGCCTTAGCTCTGTGTCTCTTTCCCCTTTAATCCTCTCCCACCAAGGTAACTTGTACTCCTTCCTTTCTCCTGTGCTGTGCCCTTTCCCTGTGTCCCTTCTACCAGGCTCTTCTACCCTGAGTGTGAGACAAGAGCGGTGGGCGGGAGAGAGCGACGCCGAAGTCCACGTGCCCAGAGGACTTTCTTCTACCTTCTGCTGTCCTTTTTTGTGGAGAGTGAGGTGACGTATGGAAAGGAGCTGTTGTGCTAAGATGTGCAGGTAGAGAAGGATGGGAGCTGGCTCTACAGGAAGGGGAGAAATGATTCATCGGGAGCCACTTCTAGCATGTTAACATGTGGCTTCGGTGACTTAACATCTACCTGCTCCCACAGCTCCATGACCACGCCGCATACTTAGTTGACAGCCTGTGGGACTGTGCGGGGCCTCTGCTGAAGGACTGGGAGAGTCTGACAAGCCTGCTGCTGGAGAAGGACCAGAGTGTGTACCAGCTGGTAGCCAGGGAAGGGGACCTCTCCCCTCCTTGTAGGAAACCAGGAGAGATTGCTCTCCTGACTTGTAAAAGGCATAGGTCATGGGTGGTGGAGGTGATGGAGGGGGTTCTTAGGGATTGGGGGTGGCTAGTCTATGAATCTGTTTTCTGTCGTCCTGCCCACCCAGACCTGGGCGATGCACAGGAGAGCACGCTGGTAGAAATCCTGGTGTCCAGTGTCCGGCAAGCTTCAGAGGGCCACCCGCCTGTGGGACGGGCCACGGGGAGGAAGGTACAGCGTGAGGGGCGCGGGCTGAGGGTTGTTGGCAGGTACTGTCTGTCCTTACCCTCGAGTCTTAGGTTAGGGTGCTCCTTCCTCTGCCTCTCAAAGAATTCCACTTCTAGCAGAAGAAATCTGAAGCGAGCTGCTTATCTTCCTAGGAAGATAAGATTATCAGGCAGAGGAATACACATACATACACCCTTCCCCCATCCCCAAATGACTAATTTCAGGGCTTAACCCCAAAAGAACGTAAGATCCAAGCCGATGACAAGGTGAAGCTGACTGAGCACCTCATCCCCCTGCTCCCCCAGCTCCTGGCCAAGGTAAAGACGCCTCATCGCTCAGCCTCTGGGAAAGAGCGGGTGGAAGGAGGTGGCCTCGAAGTGAGCAGTGTGGCAGGTTATAAGTAGGCTTCCCTCAATCGCCGCAGTTCTCCGCTGACGCCGAGAAGGTGGCTCCCCTGCTGCAGCTTCTCAGCTACTTTGACCTCAACATCTACTGCACCAGGCGCTTGGAGAAAGTGAGGGCGGAAGACGACACATTCCCTGTTCTTGCTGCTTTTGCCCTGGAACCAGAGAGTCTACTGCCAGTATCTGGTTTTTCTTAAGGACATGGATTCTAGAAAAACCAATAAGCCTTCCCTCTCTCAGGCATCTTATCCTTGAAGTTTAATGTCAATGCTGTTTCCTTTCTCCCCGTCTCTAGTCCCCTCAGGAGGAGTTCTCTTCCCCCAGCTCCCCCACGACACTGTCTTTTCCCACCTTTTCTCTCTCAGCATCTGGAGCTGCTCCTGCAGCAGCTCCAGGAGGTGGTGGTGAAACACGCAGAGCCCGCAGTGCTTGAGGCTGGCGCTCACGCCCTCTATCTGCTGTGTAATCCTGAGTTCACGTTCTTCAGCCGGGTGGACTTTGCCCGCAGCCAGCTGGTGGATCTCCTGACCGACCGCTTCCAGCAGGAGCTTGAAGAACTGCTTCAGGTTGGAAGTAGGGCTGTGTGACAGGACTCCCCAGACCTGTGTGGGAGAGGCCACTAGATATGGGGGTGTGGATCCGTGAGTTCTCGGGGAAATGCCACATGGACCTCCTTTCTTCCTCAGTCGTCCTCCCTAGATGAGGATGAGGTGTACAGTCTGGCAGCCACTCTGAAGCGCCTCTCTGCCTTCTACAAGTGAGCAGCTCCCCTCCTGCTCCCGCTTCTATTGCTGCCGGTGTCTGTGGGGTGGATGCCTGTTCGTTCTGTTCCGTGTAACATTTCCCTCTTCCCGCCCCCCACCCCTGCCACAGTGCCCACGACCTAACCCGCTGGGAGCTTTATGAGCCCTGCTACCAACTCCTCCGAAAGGCTGTGGACACAGGAGAGGTTCCTCACCAGGCAAGTAGACAAGTTGGAAATGTGGAAGCAGGTGTTTTAAGGGCCCCGCGTCCTCGGTGGCCATCTTGCAGTTGGTTCCCGTCCCAGGGATGTGGAGTTTGTGAGAGAGAGCTCCATCGTGTGTGTTGCTCCTTCTGTCCTCCTCTTGGAAGGTGAATGTACTTTTCTAGCACCTGAAAATAGTCATTCTGTCTGGCTTCTGGGGAGTCAAGGATAATATTGAAGGATTATAGGAGACTTTAAATCAGGAAGAGATGGCATTCTTGCTCAGGATAAAATCCTCTGAAGACTGTCCAGAATCACTTTTTTCCTCACCAGAGAAGGAAGTAGGTCTCTCCTCATCTCACTCACTCTAGTCTGCTTTTTTCTTCTTTCCTTCATGTGTGTCTGCCTGTCTGTCTCTCTCCCCACCTGCCCGTTACTCTGCTTACCTTTGCTTTTTAACATGTGGTTCTTAGGTGACCCTGCCAGCCTTGACGCTTGTCTATTTTTCCATTCTTTGGACACTATCCCACATTTCTGGATCAGATGCTTCCCAGGTGAATATGGATCTGAGGAGGGGGAAGAGGAATGGAGTACCAGTGTCTTCCTTCATTCCTTCCCCCTGAAGTCATTGTCTCCACAGAAGCAGCTGTTGGGTCTGAAGGGCAGGATGGTGGCCTTCTGCGAACTCTGCCAGAGCTGCCTCTCAGATGTGGATTCTGAGATCCAGGAGCAGGTGAGCGTTTGCCAAGGATGCATGTTGTCTGTAGCTCTGCTCCCATGGTCTGAGGAAACCTATTCTGAGGGGAAATTCGCAATGTAATTTCTGTCATGGTCAATTTTCTGTCCTTTTTAAGCATTCTTTTTTTCCCCCCGACAGGCTTTTGTCTTGTTAAGTGATCTGCTTCTTATCTTCAGCCCTCAGATGATTGTAGGAGGACGAGAGTTCCTCAGGCCCCTTGTCTTTATTCCTGAAGCCACCCTGCAGTCTGAGCTAGCCAGCTTCCTCATGGATCATGTCTTCATCCAGCCTGGGGAACTGAGCAGTGGTACCGGGGCTCAGGGAGGGTTTGGGGCTCACGCCTGCCTCGGGCTGGAGGGCAGGAGGCCTCGACTGTGATTCTGATGTTTGCACTCTGCACTTGGGGTGAGCCAGGTCGTTCCCAGGAGGACCACATACAGATTGAGCAGCTGCACCAGCGGCGCCGCCTCCTGGCTGGCTTCTGCAAGCTGTTGCTTTATGGGGTGCTGGAGATGGACGCAGCCTCAGATGTTTTCAAACACTACAACAAGGTATAGCGGGGCGCCAGGCAGAGCACGTCACTGACCCAGGACCTCAGACACTGTAGCGCTCCAGGAAGGGTGGGGGAACTGATAGTACCAAGCTTAAAGGGAAAGCGGGGGGAAGGCCTGTAGTTTAGAATAAAGGGACAAAGAAAAGAGACTTAGCTTTTTCTTCACAATTATTTACTGCTGTTAGGCAGAAATTCATTGGAGGGAAAATACCTTAATCTTCCTGTCCAGAAATTTTTTTTTTTCTTTCTGTGAGCCTAGTCTGTGGAATGGGGTAATGTAAGAAGGGGAATAAAAAGAACAGAAGAGGTTTCAGTCCTTCCAAGGTACCTAGATACCTACCTTGGTCTCCTCAACCCACCATTGTGTTGATTTCGATTTATTGAGCACCTAGTATCCCAGGTACTAAGGGCCCCTCAGTGAACAAAACAGTCAACAGTTCCAGCTGCCTGGAGCTTCTGTTCCAGGGTCAGAGACAAACAGCGAAGGCTGCAGTGCAGTGTGTTCTGGCAGGTTCACTACTCTTCTCTAAGAAGTGGACTCCAGGCAGGGCTTCTTTCCTTAATTATTTGCCTAAACTGTGATTTCTCTGGGGCTTTGTCTCTAGTGGCTGGAGATGTGGTCTAGTGTGAGTTGTTTCATGCTTAGATTCATATTCCCTACCTCAGGTCCTTTGGAAGGAGGTAATAGTTAGGGCTGTGAAGAAAAAATCAGAACAGAAACAGTCCTTTTCTGTGGTCGACATCGTTTTCTCCACTTCCTTCCCATCAGTTCTACAATGACTATGGTGACATTATCAAGGAAACACTGACTAGAGCGAGGCAGATGGACCGAAGTCACTGCTCCCGAATCCTGCTGCTGAGCCTCAAGCAGGTACCCTTCTGCCGGGGGGCCTCAGGCCTTCTGCACCCTCCCTGCGGCCCACCGCTAGCTGTTCAGAACATGAGATCTTTCAGAGCAGGAAGTTTATGACTTATTTTGACTTTTATTTCACATGACAGTCTCCTTCATAACTAGTAGATCCATAAAAAGCAATTTAACTGTCGGGGCAGTTTCTACCCCAATCCCATAGAACTCCTGTGTGAGTTAGCACATGGGAGCACCAACAATAAAGTGATAGGGAATTCCTAATTTTCTTCTAGTCTGTTGTCTCTCAGCTCCTTCAGTTACTACAGACATTTTAATTTATTGTTACAGAACATGGTGAAGTCTTCTCTGGTGCAAGGCAGTCAGGAATAGGGTCAGTGTCCTCGGAGGAAAGAAAGTAAAAACAGCAGATGGTGTCCCAAGCCCTTTAGTGTTTCTGGACAGAGAAGGGAATGCTGTACTTGCTTGTTCTATCTTGTTCCTCCCTCCCCACATGTGCCCTGTCTCCTGGACAGTTATACACAGAACTGCTGCAGGAACAAGGGCCCCAGGGCCTGAATGAGCTTCCAGCTTTCATCGAGATGAGGGACCTGGCCAGGAGATTTGCCTTGAGCTTTGGACCCCAGCAGCTACAGAACCGTGACCTTGTGGTCATGCTACACAAGTAAGGAAGTATTGGTGGAAAGCAAGGTACTTGAATCTTTCGGAGAGGGCTGCACCAGAGGCTGTGTACAGGATCAGCTGGGAGTGAGGTCTCAGAGGGAGGGTCATCAGGTCCAAGAGTAGCAGTCACGTGGGTGAGCAGGTATCCCTGGGCAACAGGCTGGGTCCAGGGGGAGGAAGAAGCACTTGGACAGGATGCCTCAGCCCTGGGAGAGAGTTGGGAGGGGCCTTTCTTCCTAAAATGATTCTGCTCAACCAAGGGAAGGCATCAAGTTCTCCTTGTCTGAGCTTCCTCCAGCTGGCTCCTCCAGTCAGCCCCCAAATCTGGCATTCCTGGAGCTCCTTTCAGAGTTCTCCCCCCGACTCTTCCATCAGGACAAGCAGCTGCTGTAAGTTAGGGGTGGGTGGATAAAGATGTGGGTGAGAGAGGAAGGGTATGGTGAGGGCTGTGACCACTTCAGCCAGGCTCCATCCCGCCTCTTTCTTAGACTCTCCTACCTGGAAAAGTGTCTGCAGCGTGTCTCCCAGGCACCTGGTCGTCCCTGGGGTCCAGTCACCACCTACTGCCACTCCCTCAGCCCCGGAGAGAACACGGCAGAGGTCAGCCCTCAGGGCTACCCCCGCTCCAAGAAGAGGCGAGTTGAAGGTAAAGTGCTATGAATGTGGGTATCAGGGTGCTCAGTGCTCCTGCCTTGATTGCCACTGCTTAGTGAAGCAGCATATGGTCTTTTGCCTCTCAAAGTCTTGAGTTTGGTCAAATAAATATTCATGGAGCCCCTACTATCATCAAGGCTACTCATTTTCTTCAAGGTTTATCTAGCCAAGTAAAAATAGCCAACTTCTATGAAAAATTAAATAGAAACTCATGATAAAACCAAAGATTGAACTAAAAAATCTGTACATTTATGATGCCTTTTGTTGACATCTTATATTGTTGTTTTGCAATTTTAAAACATTTTATAGTCTTCATGATTTTTATAGTCTTCAGATCATTACCTGTTATATTCACATAAGTTTTTTCTTTAAAGTGATTTTTTTCAAATATAGTTTCATCTTGTGATAATACCCTAGAAATCACAAATCTGAGCTGTAAGTTTGTTTTCTAGTGTACATTTTAAAATACTGGTAGTCATACCCCATTCCCCCAGGTCTAGGCAGTATACTTACCTATTTCTTGTCTCTGGGTTTGCTTATTTTAGACATTTTATGTAACTGGAATCATAGTCTGTGGCCTGTGTCTTCTTTTAATGAGCATGTTTTTAGGGTTCATCCATTCTTAGCATTTATCAGTACCTCATAACTTCATGGCTGAATAATATTCCATTTGTATGGATATGTCATTTTATCCATTCATCAGTTAATTGATACTTAGGTTGTTTCAACTTTCTGTTAACACATGATACTACTGTGAACATTCATGTGTAAGCTTTTGCATGGATGTAGGATTTCACTTCTCTTTAGAGAAATTGCTGGATTATATGGTAACTCTATGTGTAACTTTATGAGGAACTACCAAACTTTTCCAAAGTGCCTACATTGTTTTGCAATTCCTACAAAAATTGACAGGGCCCCAGTTTCTCTATATGCCAACACTTGTCTTTGATTTTATCCATCTCTTAGGGATTGTGAATTGGTATCTCATCCATTGTAGCTTAAATTTGTATTTCCTTAAGTACTAATACTGTTGAGCATCTTTTCACATGCTTATTGGCTATTTGTATATCTTCTTTAGAGAAATATCTATTCAAATTCTTTGCTTATTTAAAAATAGGGTTGTCTTTTTTTATTGTTGTGTTGTCTCTTATCAGATACACAGAAAAAATTTCTCCCATTTTTTGTTGTCTTTTCATTTTCTTGATGGTGTCCTTGAAATACAAAAGTTCTTAATTTTGATGAAATTCAACTTACCTGTTTTGTGTCTTTTTTTTTTTTTTTTGAAGGTGCAAACTAAGTCACTTTAGTAGTGTGACACTTTGCAACCCCATGCACTGAAGCCTGCCAGGCTCCTCTGTCCATCAGGTTCTCCAGGCAAGAATATGGAGTGGGTTGCCAGGGCCTTCTCCATTGTTTGTGCTTTTGATGTCATATCTTAAGAAACTTGCCTAATCTAAAGTCACAAAAATCTATTCTTGTGTTTTCTTCTGAGAGTTTTCTAATTTTAACTAATACATTTAGGTCTGTGATCCATTTTGAGTTAATTTTTGTGTGTGGTGTGAAATATGGTGTGAATTCTTTTTAAAGTCTTCTGTATACCACCTAAAATTATCTTTCATACCACCAGGAAACTCTGCTTTTAATCAGTAAAGTAATACTTGTTAAGGACCTACCATGTGCAAGATATTGTATTAGGTGTTTTAGAGGCCATGACAGATTCTCAAGCAGCTTACCATCTAATAGAAAAGCAAAAAAATACATTTATAGAAAATCTGAGCTGTGAAGTCACCAGTAAGTGGTAACTTCCCCGGGGTTTCACAGATGACTGCTATAGAATTCAGAGAAGAAAGGTATCATTTTATGTTCAGTTGATCTATGAAGGCTTTATCAAGAAGATGGTATTTAAGCTAGATCTTGAAAAATGGGTAAGATTTATGTAAGCTGAACAGAGGAAGAAAATAAGTACCATGAACTAGCAGAATAGCACAAGCAAAACAAAGGTCAGTGTTTGCCAAAGCACATGAATATATAGATTGGTTTGCCTAAAACAGAGGGTTTGTAAAGTTAGGATAAAACTGAAAAAATTGGTTCCATTGTTCATTGGCACCTTGCATTCAGTTGTGCTTGCAATGCAGGAGTGAGCTTTCTTTGGAATAGTGTCAGATAGTAATGTGCTGTGGAAGAGGGTGGGGAAATACTGGGGAGGTAGGGACTGCAGTCTTACAAAAAGTAATCAGAGAAAGCCAGAGTATGAATGCAGGGCAAAAACTAGAGAAAGTGAGAGGGGTGCCTGGTGTACATCAGAATGGCAGACGAGGACTTAACCTGGCGGTCCAATGGTTAAGACTGTGCTTTCAGTGCAGGGGCTGTGGGTTCAATCCCTGGTCGAAGAACTAAGATCCCACATACAACACAGCCAAAAAGTTAAAAAGGGGCAGCTAAGGGAATAGCAGACAGGCAGGTGCAAGTGGTCCAGAGGCCATGGTGGGATGTCTCTGGCTTGTTCAAGGAATAGCTAAGAAGGCCAGTATTGCTGAGTGGAGATTGTGTAGGATACAGGACCAAAGAGTTTGTCGGGGTCCCGAGCATGAGTCAGAATAAAGACTCTGGCTTTTACTCAGAATGAAGTGGGTAAACATTAGGGATTTGAGCAGAGGAGTGACAGGATCTGCCTTACATTTTAAGGGGCTCCTGGGTGCTGTGTGGAGAACTGACTGAAGGAGAGGCAGGGCTTGAAGGCAAAGAACTGCTGAGGAGGCTGCTGTAAGGGCCCAGATAGGCGGAAGCTAGTGAACTGGGGAGAGGCAGATGTGAGAAGTGACCAGACTCTGGACATATTTCCAAGCTATCATTAATAGAGCCTCATAATAAGAAAGAATGTAAAATTGAGAGAGAAAGGAGTTGAGGATGACTCCAAGGGTTTGGGCCTAACATTGGAAGATTGGAGTTGATAGCAGCTGAGATGGGGAAGTCAGTAAGAAGTGAGACCAGGACTTTGCTATGTTACAGGTGGAGATGCTGGAGACAGGAGTCTGGAGTGCAGGGGGGAAGCAGAAGCTTGAGATAGATGTAGGAGTTGGTGCTTAAAGTCGTGAACCTGAAGGGCTAAGAAAGCCACTAAGGATGGAGATGGGGAGAGGTCCTAGGCTGAATCCTTGGACATTACACCAATTAAATAGGCTGGGAGATTAGGAGTCACATGGGGGCTCAGGTTTATTCTCTGGGAAGACAGGCTCACAGGTGTGGCTCTTCCCTGTTTAGGGAATGTCCTGCTTACAGCAGAAGCAGCTCACTCTCCGGTTACTGGTTTCAGAGTGCAAACAAGGTTGTGGGGAGGGAGACAATGGGGATATGAGTATTTCCAGTTGATAAATACTAATATCCATTTGACTTATGTTTTAAAATAGCATTACCTGGGTTTTCTAAACATTTTGGCTTCTTTCTCCTATGCCTTCCTCAGTCTTTACAAGAGACTGTCCTTTATATTTTGAGCCCCAGGTCTTCCTCTTACCCTTCATATTAGAACTATGCTGACATTACAGTCATTTCATTTTTTTTTCTGGCTTTTAGAAAATCCAGTCTTTCATTTTTCTGTTTCTCCTTAACTCTCATGCTTCCTGCCTAGTTTCAGGCCATTCTAAACTTTTTCTCACTACAAAAACCTTAAATGAATGAAATCTCAGATTTCTTCATTGATTAAATGAGACCTGTCAATCTCAGGGACTCCAGCCCTCTCTCACATTTGTATTTGTATATTACTGTTTATCTGTGGAATGTATGTCTCTTTCCCTCTTGTTTTCTAAGGTATGTATGAATCTCTCCTGGACAAGCCCTTAATACAATCCTATAAACCCTACATTTTAGTACGTAGGGAGGGCTGTGCTCAGTTTTAGTCATGTCGTAATGAGACTATCTAGATTTTCCACTGCCGCCTTATTTAACTTTTTAACAAATCCTGAGCAGGTCTTGAAAAACTGAAGTGTCCGGTGGTACCTGGTCTCCAGTAAGCATGTGCCTCTGCTGCTTGCAGGGCCCTCCAGGCGGCACAGAGAAGATGTCTCTGTATCCCAGGAGGAAAGCCTAGAGCCGAACAGCATCCCAGCCACACCTACCCTCACCTCCACAGCTGTGAAGAGTGGTCAGCCCCTCGGGGCATCGGAGAAGATGGAAGAAGGCGGCAGCTCAGAATTGGCATTTCCCCAAGGGTGTGTCCCCCGAGGAAACTTGGCTCTGATTTCCCAGTCTGGTGTCTCCCCGTTTCTGTTGTGTTGTTCCCTGCCACAGGACCCCCTCATTCTTTACTCTTCCCAGACCCTTTCCCCTTTTTTCAGCTTTTCATTTTCTCTTTTTCCTTCCACTCTGAACTTTCTGCTGGCTTTAATGCTGGCCACTTTACCTCCTCTTTTTACCCTATATTTTTATCTCTTGTCACTGATCCAACTTCATTCCCAACAGCCTGTACCTTTTAGGCAACCCAAGGTCAAGGTCCTTGAGTCCACAGCATGTCCAGACTCCACTCAACCCTTCAGGTTCTGGTCTGGGCAAGCAGCTGACCCGGTGAGCTTTTCTCATCGTCTGTCTTCACTTCAGGTCTGTCCCCCGTTATGAGGGCATTCTCCCGGATCAGTGGTGCTGTGCTGGTGCTTTGTGGACTGGTTTTAACCACACAGCACTGCCTTCCAGTGTCATGTGGAGCCCTGTGTATAAAGCGGATGGAAGCAGAGCTGCTGTGTTGGGAGTGGGGTGTGATCTGGAGCCCTGGTCCGCTTACTGCCCTGCCCCCGCTTCCCCATCCCCTGGGGGTGCCTGGGAAACTCTTGGGTCCTTGAAAACTGCTACTCTTGGCCACTGCTTCCAGGCTTAGCTTGATGGAAGAGGATGAAGACGAATTCGAAATTCAGAATGACTCAAGTGAAGAGTGGCAAGGTTCAGGCAAGGTGAGTGGACCCAACAGTCCCTTCTCCCTTTAGAATTGGAAGCAGATGTGAGGGAGAGAACCTAGAGTGAGTCTCCTTTGTCTTGATGATGCCTTGTCCTTGGAAGCTCTCAGATGTTTTGAGTCATAAAAGAGGAAGGGTTTTTGTAAGTTTCTGTTCACTCTGCTTGGACTTAAAATATTTCTCCCCTATATCTTCTTAAAAAAGTAAAGTACCAAAAAGGACTGGAACCACACTCCCATTCTCAATCCCCATGTAAGTATTTAGTTTCTTAACTGCCCCAGAATTAAAGGGAGCCCTTGAGCTAGAGAGAGATGGGAGGTTACCCAGTGCTTGGAGCCTGGCAGCAAATCTCTCCTGTCACAGCGTAGGCTCAGCCGACCTCCTCTCCTGAGAGGGCTGCCCTTGCCTGCCTGCTTCCGCAGGAGGAAGTGCTGCCAGTTCAGTAGGAAGCACATGGAATTCAAATGAGGAGAGGTCTCATAGGAGTCCTAGGTTCCCCTACTTTATCAAGTTAACTCCATAACCCCTCTCAGCCTCATCTAAAATGGACCTTTTACGCAAGATACAGAGAGAAGGCACCTTATAAACAGAAGAGGATTGTGTTTCTGTTGCTGTTCGCTCCTTTCTCTGCTCTTTTGAGGAGGAACGGGCACAGCGGAGTGGGGTGGGGAGTGGGGGGTCTTGTGCTTGAAGGCAAAACCAGACAAAAGGTTCCACCCAGAGCCTAGACAGCAGGACCTCTGTTAGGTGTTTAATCCTGTAGTTCCCTCAGGAAAACCCAATCTCTGGTTCCAGAGCTGAGCAAACGTAAGGTCTCAGTTGGCCGGCCAGGAGAGGAGGCACTGCCCTGATGACTGACTGTGCTCCTCTGCCCTCCCTGGCTGCTTCAGGGACTTACTCGGCCTCAAATTTGTCACGTGAGAGGGAAAGGCCCCTCTGTTGTTGTCTGCAGATGATGGGAATGGTGAGGGACTGTTCTGACATCTGACCCTGTTCTGTCTAGTCCTCCTCCAGTGAGCACAGGCTGGACCTTTTAGATTCTACAGAGCTGAACATTGAGGTGAGCGTCCCCAGAACAGACTGCAGAAACAGGTTAAAAGGCCACAGCCCTGGGCTGCCGTCTCAGTTGCCAGGGGCTTTAGCATGTCCTGGGGGAGGGGCAGTACGGGAAGAGGAGGAGAGTTTGTTACCTGGAGGACATTGACCTCTGGTCCATTGTTAGGTCTCTGTATTCTACTTTTATCTTTCTCATTACAGGATTTCTGATGTAACCCTAGGCCTTTCCCCATCTCCACGACATGACCACTTAGAAAAAGGCCAGCAGAAGACGGAATGAAAGGAATCATTACTTCCGCACCCCTGGTCTCTGAGGGGAAAGAGGTGGGCTGTGCCTTGCTACCCTGGCCTGTCCTTCCTGGGGCTCCGTCCCCCTGTTTCAGCAGAGTGCCTATTTTCTGCTGTTTGGAGGTGGAGGTTGGGGGGGGCGTTACCTTGGTCATGGAGAGGGGCACTGCATACCTGTGTTGAAAGTAAGGAGCCCATAATTTTTTCTGTATTGTGGGAAAGTTTGAGCTGCTTTTGTGCCCTATTGATTTAGCTCAATAAACATGTATGAGTCAGTTGCAGGATCTGGCTTGAGACTTACACTGATGGGACGTCAGGTTCTTTGCTGGAGTCTTAAGCGGCTCTGCCCAGCCCTGTGTTCCATGGACAGGTGCTGGCACTGCCCCCGCCACCAGCAGGTGCTTTGTGCACTGGCTCTCAGGGATGTGTTGCTTAGTAAATGGGAGACTGGCTGCCTCCGAGTAGTCTGTCTGGTGGAACGACTTTAGGTCGAAGAGGGAAGGTAGGGGAAATGTGGCGAAGGGCGGACTGTGTGCCTCCACTGAGACCAGGCCAGTTCCCGTGTCTTGGCAGCCTTCACCCATGTGCTTCTTTCTAGGGATAATTTCATGCCCTCATCCCAGAGACAGCTGTTGTAACTGGAACTTTATTATAGAACCTCAGTATCTGAGAGTTGGGAAGAAACTCAGAAGATATTTTGAATGTCCAACCCCAAACCCTCACCACCACCCTCTCCTCGTCCTTTCATTCCCCAGCTAGTTCCTCACCAAGTCCTTGCAAGTCATTCTCCAAAATTTCTCTGATCTCTTTCCTGTCAGTGCTGCCATCATCTCTCACCCAGACTCCATAGAATAGCCTCTGGCTACTGGACTTCTTGAAACTCTGACTTGTTCTCATTTTGCTTCTTGGAACAGCTGTTCTCCGTTCCCTCTGACAAGTAATCAAATACCTGAAAACACTGTTGTCACTTTTCTGCTGTGACTGCTTCCTTGTGTGATTTAAGGAACTCTTCAGCCTCTCCTTTTAGAGACGAATTCCTGGGCATCTGCTGTAATCTCAAGTTCTCGCTGTGTGGTGTCCCAGGCTGGACAGAGTCATCCAGCTGGTCTAGTGGTTTCTGCAGAAGGATGCATGGTTTCCTGTAATGAGGTCACTCAACCAAACTCATTTCTTCCTCCTCCCTCCCTCCAGATAAAAGATAGAAGTTGGGTTTGTGAGTTTCATTTTAGAGAGGCAGAGTGTCCTGGGCACCTTTACCTATATTCAGTGGAGCAGTTCCCAAGAGGAGCCTTTTGTGTGGGGTCTGGGAGCCGAGTGGGAAGACCAAGGTGAAGATGCAGAGGTCACTAGGGGTCTAGGAGGAGAAAGAATCCCAAGTTACTTAAATACCAGTCAAGCTGGTACTTTATGAGATCAAAAGAAAGTTGGAAGCTCTGTAAATGTAGAGATCTGTATGCAGCCAACAGAACAGTGTAGGAGGTTGAGCCCCAGCCTTAGAATCTGTACATGTTTTATATCATGTTCCCCAAATTCTTTGCCACTCTTCACATATTGAGAGTTTGGGTCTAAGTCCTTTCCCTTTGAACAGGGGCTCTGTGAGTGCTAGGTAAACAGAATATGGTGGAGTGATGCTGGGCCTTGAAGAAACTGGCAGCTTCCACATCCCGTTTCTTGAGGTACTCACTCTTGGGGTCCCAGCAGCCATGTGGAAAGGTCACATGTCGTCGTCCCTCCAGCAGCCCCAGCTGAGGGCCCAGCCCGTGCTGAGCTCCGAGCACCAGGCATGGTTCCGACAGGAATCAGGCGATTCTGATGCTCAGCTTTTGAGTCTTCTAGTTAAGGTCCCAGACATCGGGGAACAGAGACAAGCCATCTCCCAGTACCTCTGCCAGATTCCTGACCCACAGAATCAAAGAGTGTAACTGAACAATGGTGTTTACACCATTTTGGGGGGTTCGTTATGTAGCATTAGTAACTGAAACAGAACCTTAAGAGTCATAAGATGCTTTGAACATATTTGTCAGCTTAAAAATTATTTATATATTAAATAAAAAATTACCACTTTTATTATGCATTCACATGTAATTGATGAATTTATGATGGAATGTTCTTAAATATTTTATTGGTTAACAGTACAAAAACCCCTTTTTTTGCTCTAAAAGAAACATTATACTGAGAGCAAAGTGAGAAACATGAGAAAACATTTTTATCGCGATTGCACCCCTCCTAACATCTCCTTGTGGGGACCTGGTCTTTGGACGTAGGATATCTTTCCTTGGTAGGTGCCAGCATTTGCCAGTGGTTGTTTAGCAGTTCACTGTGATTTTGGCAGATTTTGGCATTTTTTAAGAGGTGGTAAGCTCATGTCCTTCTCCACCATCTTATCTCTGCCCCTATTTTGAGAAACAGTTTTAAAATCATGGCTTATTTTCTGAAGTTCTAGTTAAAAGTTTAAAACTATCAAAATAAACCGAACTTCTTAAATATGTTTGAAAGACACTCTTTTCAGTTAAGTCCAAATGGAACAAGTGCTTCTTTGGCTGCATTTGTTACTTTTTAAACAGATGAGTCAAAACCCACTGAGACTCTTCATTTGGAAGACTTGTCAGCAGGTGGGAAAATGATTTCCGAGTTGAAACAACAGCTTCTTAGAGGGAGAAACACTTTGTTCGGGACAAAAACCACCACATCCTGTAGCACATTCAGCTGCAGTTGGTCAGACAAGCTGAGCTTGCTTCTCTGACCTTATGATACTGATCTTGTTAGCAGTGAACCATGGCATGTGTAGCCAAGTGAGGGCACCATTGTATCACTTGAAAATACAATGAAGTTAACTTTTTATTAGTTATCTTTGAAAATTAGAAATGTTCATTTTTCCTACACGACACCAGTGGATATTTTGCACCACCTGAGTTGCAGACACCCCACCTTGACAGCTGCAGCTCTGGAGGGTTCTGTGCCAGTAAGCCCCGTGCTGGCAGAGGCAAGGCTGTGGGCTTCCTAAGCAGCAGCTCCGGTCAGTCAGGCCCAGGTCAGGATGGAACCACATCTGAGGCCAGTCCTGGCAGGAGAGGTGGAGGCCTCTGCACGGCTGAACCTTCCCGTGTTAATAGTGACACAAATGTTTGCAGGGGACTGGCTTTGCTATGCCTGGCCTGTCTGCTGAATCACTGCTTAAATCATTTTAAATATTTTTCATTAAGACATTTTCTCCCCTTGCAACCATGAGCTCTGCCAGAAGGTGAGTTGTTGTTGAAAAAAAGTGAAGTGTTAGTCATGTCTAGCTCTTTGTGACCCCATGGGCTGTACAGGCTCTGCTGTCCATGGGATTCTCCAGGCAAGAATACTGGCGTGGGTAGCCATTCCCTTCTCCAGGAGATCTTCCCAACCCAGGGATCAAACCCGGGTCTCCTGCATTGCAGGCGGATTCTTTACTATCTGAGCCACCAGGGAAGCCCTGGAGGAGTTGGTGGTGTCTCCTAAAGTGAAGAGGGTTTTTCCAGTTTGTTGAGAAAAGCCTTCTGCTAAGAAATATTTAAAGTTTTCACTTTGTCCTTTGAACTCCAGGCAACACTGACCCTGGGGACTACAGGATGAAAGGAGAATTTGTGCCTGGATGACATGAGAGAATGGGGTGGTATTTTCATAAATACATTTTAAGGTCTTCTCTGTAGTTCCTTCCCAGGGAAAAGGGAACATCAGGATCCTGAGAAGACGCCAAAAAGCAAGTCACTCTCTACCACAGATTCCCTGAAAACCCTGTGTGTTGAGTGGTATTGCTGAGAAATAGGGCCTGAAGAGTGTGCCCAGGCAGGAGGAGAGAAATGGAAAGCCTGGAAACTCACCAAAGATGAGCCTCGGAACCTCAGGAAACTAGAGAACGGGAGCTCAGAATGCTGGGGAAACCTAAAGGACAATCCATTTAATTCAGTAATTAGACCCGGTCATGGGCTGAGTGGTGTGGTAGACGCTGAGAAACAGGGTCGTGTGTTGGCCTCCCCCATCAGGATGGGGAGGGCACCTGAGGTGGGAACTCAGCACAAGTTCTCTGCTGAGGTGGCAGATGCTGCTGCTTTTGTGACAAAAACCTTATAATTCCACTTAAATTTTTCACTGGGACAAGCAGCTGAGCGTAGTGGTTAGTAGAGTGAGTTTGGGAGCTACAACTTTGTTCACTGTGTACTACTAGCTTTGTGATGCTGGATAAAGTATTTGCTCTTAAGGTAGTTGTTATGAGCAATTCACATATGTTAGCTTCATAGTTAAAAATTTAGCACATAGTATACACTCAGATATCATCTTTTACATTATTTTGATGCAAGAACTTAAGTGGCCTATTATACACATTTAAAATAGATATAAAAATGAGTCTGTCTCTACAAACTCAAAATGAGGATGGTCCTCATTGTGGATGGGCACCAAATCCACTGAGAGGGCTTGAGCCCGTCGCGGGCAGAGCGTTGCCCCGCGCTATTACCTGGTCCTCCAGTCACACTCAACCAGCTTTCCTGCTGCTTTGCCTGATCGTGAAGACCTGGGAAATCCTAGCCCCGATTCAAACCCTCGAGGTTTCCAGAGACTGATCACAGACGCTGCTTGCTCTGCAGGAGGACTAGGGCTGTGGCCACAGGGGTTTCACCAAGAAATGTCAGAGCAGGAGGTGGCCAGTACCAGACCTGTGTTATCTAACCTGTACCTCCAGGCCAGAGGGCAAAGGCCAACAGTGGTGAACACAGGGCTTCACTGTACTTGGATTTTAATGACCTTTGTGTCTCCAGAGCTCAAAATTCTGGAGACTATTCAGGAATAGCCAAGAAAGTTCTGAGAAAGGATGAGCACCTTCACACACATCAGAACATAAAAGCATTCTCCTTAGGACCATGTGATACGACACTGGAATAATCAAATAAATCAATGGATAGATTAGGAGAAAGTCCAGAAGTAGGCCCCTTTGTGAGAATTAATGATTAAGACACCAAGAGACGGAGGGGACTTGGCCAAAATGGAGTAGAAAAACCCTGAGTTTACCTCTTCTCATGGACACACCAAAATTACCACTGTTTAAAGAAGATTTAATGAGAAAGACCAGAATCTACCAGAAAAGATCTTCTACAACTAAAGATATAAAGAAGGAGCCACAAGATGGATAAGAGGGGCAGAGTTAGGACAGAGTCGACCCAGAGCAAGCAACCCTCAAATACAAAAGTAATTACAGTTGCAGAGGTTCTCCCCATGGAGTGTGGGATTGGCGGCCCACATCAGGCACCACAGCCATTGGGAAGATGAGCCTGCAGAATGGCCTTGAAGGCTAGTGGGGCTTGCTTGTGGGGGAGTCAGAGGGCTGTGGGAAATAGACTCCACTCTTAAAGGGCATGTATAAACACATGGTGGGGGACTCCGGGCAGAAGAGGCTGAGTCAGAGCCACCTCGGACAGTCTCCCAGAGAGGCAGGTGGCAGTCGGCGTCCACCTTGGGAATGTAAGTGCTGGCAGAAGAGCTTGTTCTACCACAAGGACACGGGCGCTGGCAAGTTCCACTGTGGACTCCCCTCCAGCTCATCAGCCTTGGGACTCGGCCCCACCGCTGCCCGCACCAACAGCCTGGAGGCACCAGTGCTGGGAGCCTCGGGCCAGGCAACTAGCCAGGGCTCATGCGGTCCTGGCGGAGCAAGCTGCAGGGTTGCGGTGGTCCTGGAGTTGGTGTCTGCCCACTGGTGAGCTGGACGGGGGTCCAGGGCACCCCACCCAGCAGCTGGCAGGCTGCCTTAAGACCCCCAGAGCCCACAGCCACTGTCCACTGGAGGGCACAGGATCTGACTTCTCTTTACACACCAACCCCGAGACCCAGCTCCACCCATCAGTCAGCAAGTACCAGCCCCGAGACCCCTGGGCCCCTGGGTCCATCTAGTAGCGAGCTGGCAGGCCCTAGCCCCACCTGCCAACAGGTAGACATTAGCCCCAGACCACTGCAGCCCCAGAGCCTGCCATAGTGGGACACAGCCTACCCATCAGCAGGCAGGCAGGCACCAGCCCTGGCGCCCCTCTGGGCCCTGCTCACCAGTTCTAGGACACCTTGGGCCCCTTGGCCAGAGAACTTGGGATTTAGCACCACCCAGCAAGCAGGTTAACACCTGTGTCAGGATCCACAGGGCCCAGTAACCAGAGACCCTGGGACCCATCTCCGCATACCAGTAAACCAGCACTGGCCCCAGGACCCCTGGGTTCTGCAATCAGCTGCCTTGTGATCAGGCCCCAACTAGGAGCTGGTAGACTGCGCAAGACAGGGCCTAGAAGCCAGCCCAACCAGGGGCCAGCTATGCCTACCAGACTGCCCACAGTAATTAGCCTGCCACCATAACCCACACAGGGTCACCCCTAGAACGTGTATCCCTGGTGACCAGAGGGGAGTGCGCTGCTGGGGCGCATAGGACGTCTCCTACAAAAGACCACTTCTCCAAGACCAGGAAACATAAGCAATCTACGAGATAGTGTGTTGGTCACTCAAGTCATGTCCAACTCTTTGCTACTTCATGGGCTATAGCCCACCGGGTTCCTCCGTCCATGGACTTCTCCAGGTAAAAATACTGGAGTGGGTTGCTATTCCCTTCTCCAAGGGAACTTTCCAACTTAGGGAATCAAACCCAGGTCTCCTGCAGTGCAGGCATATTCTTTACTGTCTGAGCCCCCAGGGGAGCCCAGGAATTCCAGTACATTCACAACAAAGAGTCTGGCCCTACATAGAAATAAAAACAGCAAATTAGGCAGAGTAAGGTGACAGAGTCCCTTGGACTGCAAGGAGATCCAACCAGTCCATCCTAAAGGAGATCAGTCCTTGGTGTTCATTGGAAGGGCTGATGTTGAAGCTGAAACTCCAATACTTTGGCCACCTCATGCGAAGAGTTGACTCACTGGAAAAGACCCTGATGCTGGGAGGGATTGGGGGCAGGAGGAGAAGGGGATGACAGAGGATGAGATGGTTGGATGGCATCACCGACTCAATGGACATGAGTTTGAGTAAACTCCGGGAATTGGTGATGAACAGGGAGGCCTGGCGTGCTGTGACTTGGGGTCGCAAAGAGTCGGACACGACTGAGGGACTGAACTGAACTGAAGGTGACAGAGCAACATGTTACAAATGCAAGAAAAAGACAAAGTTGCAGAACTACATGAACTGGAGACAGTCAATCTACTCAATAAAGAGTTTAAGGTAATGGTCATAAAGACGATCAAAGAACTTCAGAGAAAAATAGAAAAACAGAGTAAGAAGTTGGAAGTTTTTAAGGAAGAATTAGAAAATATAAAGAGGAATTGAATAATAACTAAAGAGAAAAATACACTAGAAAGAATCAACAGATTAAATGATACAGAGGAATGGATCAGTGAGCTGGAAGACAGCAGTGGAAATTGCTACAGCTGAACAGAAGAAAATAAAAAATGAGGACAGTTTTAAGAGACCTCCAGGACAACATTGAACACACTGATGTTCACATTACAGAGGCCCCGGAAGGGAAAGAGAGAGAGAGAAAGGGGCAGGAAACATATTTGAAGACATAGGAGCTGAAAACATCCATAACCTGGGGAAAGCAACAGACATTCAAGTCCAAGAAACACAGAGTCCCACACAGGATCAACCCAAAGAGGACTACAGCAGGCCACGCTGTAATCAAAACGGCAAGACTGGAGAATATTCAAAGCAGGAACAGTCAAAGGGAAAAGGAGCCAGATTCATGCCAGGGGGCTCTCCTAAGGCCGTCAGCTGAGTTTTCAGAAGCTTTGCAGGCCAGAGGGGAGATGCGTGATATGGTGATGAAAGAGAAAACCTACACCTAAGAATGCTTTACCTGGCGAGGTTTTTGTTCAGATTTGATGGAGAGATCAAAAGTTTTATGGACAAGCCAAAAGCTGGAAGAGTTCAGCACTTCCAAACCAAGAAACCTTAAAGGCACTTACCCAAGCGAGAAAAAGGTATCTACTAGAAACATGAAATTACAAAAGGAAAAAGCTCATTAGGAAAGGCAAATATACAGGAAAAGGAGTTAACCAGACACAAAGCTATTAGTAAGATTAAAAGTCAAAAGTAGTGAAAATCATCTATACTCACAATAAGCAGTTAAGAGATGCACAACAAAAAGACATTAAAATGTGTTTGAAATCAAGAGACCAGCAACTTAATCACATATATATATATACAGACTGCTATGTGTAAACCTCATGGTAACAACAAGCCAAAAATCTATAATACACACACACACAAATTCAAATACTAAAAATAGTCATCAGTTCACAAGGGAATAAGGCAAAAAAAGAACAAAAGAACTACAAAAACAAGCAGAAAACACCACTTGGACTGGAGACACGGTAATGCCACAGGTGTTAGTTTCTGCTAACACCACAGGTGTTCGTTTCTGCAGAAATTCCCCAGTCAGTAATGTGTTAATAAAACAGCCATAAGTGCATACCTATCAGTAATTACTTTAATGTCAATAGACTAAATGTTTGAATCAAAAGACACAGAGTGGCGAAATGGATACAAGACCTGTGCTGCCTACAAGAGACTCACTTCTAATCTGAAGAGACAAAGACTAAGGGAGGAGATGGAAAAGGTATCTGTGCAAATGGAAAGCAAAAGAAAGCTGAGGCACCAACACTTACATCGGACAAAACCAACCTTACAACAAAGACTGAACAGGAGGCAGAGGAGGACATTATGTAATAACCAAGGGATCACTCCAAGAACAATGATTAAAGATATATATGCACCCAACATAGGAACACCTAAATACATAAACTAATATTAACCGACCTAAAGGGGGAAGTTGACAGTAACACAATAGATGGACCTGGAGGGTATTAATGCTTAGTGAAATAAGTCAGAGAAAGTCAAATACTGTACATTATCACTTATAAATGGAATTTTAAAAAATACAACAGACTAGTGAATATAACAAAAAAGCACTCATGGAGAAAAAATTAGTGGTTACCAGTGGGGAGAGAGAATGTTAGACGGGCAAGATAGGGGTGGGTGATTAAGAGGTACAAACTACTATGTATTAAATAAGCCAGAATGATATTAGTATGTAATACAGGGAATATAGCCAATATTTTATAATTATAAATAGAATATAACCTTTAAAATTACGAATCACTACGTTGTACACCTGAAACATATAATATTGTACATAAACTATACCTCAATTTAAAAAAATAAGGCTGCAAGGTTTGTACAGTACAGGGAATATAGCCAATGTTTTGTAACTTTAAATGGAGTATAATCTATAAAAAATTTAAATCACTATGCTGTATACCTGAAACTATATTATAACTCAACTATCAATAATAATTTTAAAAGATGGCAAGTGACTATTCAACAACGGGTTTGGGGACATTGGCTGGCCACCTAAATTGTAAAATAATACCACCTCCAAATTAAAATTCTTCGTGGATTCAAAGTAAACCCTCATAAGAGTTAAGCATAAAAACAAAACTATGAAGTTATAACTTGGCCCTCCTAAGCAATACACAAAATCCAGAAACAAAAGATGGACATTCTTAACATTACTGAAAAGTAAAACGCAGAGGGAAAAGGGAGCGGGCAGGCTGGTGAAGAACAGCAATGTTTTCTACTCTTCAATCACAACGAACAAAACACCACCGTGGCGTTTGAATCTCCCACAATGAGGGCTCGCTGGGGACAGCGTGGCGTACAGACAGAAGCAAACGGAAACTGCTGGTGGAGAGCGGACCGCGCCACGGCCTCTCACTCGCCGGTCACCCAGTATTAGCTCCTCTATGCGCCTGGGCCGGGTGGAGGTTCCTAAAAGGCCGCCACGCAGGGCCCGCCATCTGGGCAAGAGGTTATCCATGAAGGGAAGGCGCGCTCGAGACAGCTTCCTCGGTGGGGTTTGACCTGGGCCTCGCCAAGCCGGGAGAAGGAAAGGGCCCTCCAGGTTAGAGGCTGAAGTCGGCGGCCCGTGCACCCTGGTGCCCGGCACCCGCGCTGGGCTGGGCCTCCTTGAATCGGGCGAGCTCTGCACAGGGCTCCCTCACCTCAGGGGAACGAGGGGAGAAAGCGGGTGAGAGCAGGTCTGAGTCAGGTTTGGAGGGAAGGTCAAAGGGTAAGAGAATGCACGCCACCTGGGCTGGGCGCCGAGAAGTGACTGGCCCGGAGGCCCTGCTTATTCTGGCTCTTGGGTGTGGATGGCCTGACAGTTCACTTGAGACCGGCGGGCTGATGGCTGGCACCACGGAATCTGAAGAGATGCTGAATCAGGGGCATGTGGCCAGGGCAGGCCTTGGCGCCACTGCCTTCTGAGTTCTCTCCACACCCCGGACAGGAGTCCTGGACACAGACCCGTGGCTCTATGCCTTAAGCTCAACAAGCCACTCTCAGTCCAGATGCAAGTTCAGCAAAAGACAAAGACAGGATGCAAAGCATTCTGATCACTCATCACTGCTGACAGCAGCACTCTGGGCAGTGTGTGTTCTGCAAACAAAGGTGCACAGGAAAGCAATTCAGAGTGATTCTTAGGGGGAGAGAAGGCGTGAGCCCGAGAGGTGGGGGTGAGGGTGGTTAAAAAGAGGCCAGGTGGTCAGGATGGGAAGCCTTCAGAATTTCGTGATGGGCTGGAGGTGGGTGAAGGGTTGCTAAGGCCTTTGGCCTCAGCAGCTGGAAGCCAGTTGCCCTCAGATGTGGGGAGGAAGGTGCAGATGGAGCGGAGCTCCGCAGGCAGATCACAGCCCAGCTGGGCCTGGTGGGCTCCGCTTCCTCTCCCCAAGGTCTGCCACATTCCCTTCAGTGAGCTTGATGGGGGTGGGGGGTGTCTCAGCCTTCTTCCTAAAAACAAACCAGGGGGTCCCTCCCTCTCCAGGGAAGAACATCTTCTGAGGTCCCCCTGCAGCGTATCTCCCCTCAGAGCCAGCCCCCCAGGGCTAAATCCCTTAGGCAGGGCAGGGCTGGGAACCTGAGGCGAGGCACCATCCCGCTCACACTGGAGCACAGCGTGGGGACACGTAAAATCTTGTCACTGTCACTTTAAATTTCTTGGGGGGAGGGGGGGTTCCTCGACCCCAGATTCAGAGAAGGAAGTGGGGCAGGTTTGCAGAGAGTACCCAGCAGCTGCTCCCAGGGCCGGCTCATCCTCATACATAAAACTTCCTGCGATGACACCGGAAATACAAGTGCTGTCCCCACGACCACAGCCCCCTGGAGCCCGGGCCAGAGGGGAGCCATGGACAGGCCCCGGGCCCTGGGCCTGCTCTGGGCACTGCTGACTCTCTGCCTCACTGCCGGTGAGTGGGGGCCACAGAGGAGCAGAGGCCCCGGGTGCGGGTGGAGACCCAGGCCCGGACCTCGTCTCTGCACCTTCTCCTGCAGGGACTCCGGAGGTGTGGCTGCAGGTTCAGAGGGAGGCCACTGAGGCATCCTTCACCGTCCACTGTGGATTCCTGGGCTCGGGCTCCATCTCCCTGGTGACTGTGAGCTACGGGGGCCCCGACGGTGCTGGGGGGACCACGCTGGCCGTGCTGCACCCCACACTCGGCACCAAGAACTGGACAGCCGCCTGCCGGGCCCGCTGGGAAACCGGCACCAGCGTCTCCCTCACCTTGGAAAGGGCTCCCACCGCAGGGAGGGGCTCCGGTCCCAACACCACCTTCTGCTGCAAGTTCACTTCCTTCCCTGAGGGCTCCCAGGAGGCCTGTGGGAACCTGTCCCTCAGCACAGACCCAGGTGGGGCGGATGAGGAGGGGGTTCGGGGGGACAGGGAGGGACTCGGGCAGCCGGCCACCTGACTGGTATGTCTCTGTGCACAGGGCTCCCTGCTGCCAGTCCAGCCCCCGTGCTGCGGGCCGACCTGGCCGGGATCCTGGGGGTCTCGGGGGTCCTCCTCTCTGGCTGCATCTACCTTCTTTACCTCCTGCGTCGGCAGAGGCACTGGTGAGACACAGCCTCCGCTGGGCCCAGTCCATCCCCCCCTTCCCCCCCTCCCAGGCCGGCCACACGCTTTGCCTCTGACCCTCCTCTCTCCCCCCAGGGCCATCATGAAGCTTCAGCCGCCCAGACACAGCAGCCCCCAGACAGACGGGAGAGCCTGGTTTCAGAGGGGAACGGAGGGGGCTGCAGCTTGGGGGCCAGGAGAGGGAGCCTCACTCGGGCCTCCGTCCCCATCACCCCTGCAGGCAGCCAGCCAAGCCTCCCTGACCTCCTTCCACATCCCCTACGCCACCGCCACCGCCACGACCGCCAACTACTTCAGCCCAGCAACCCTGCACCGGGTCCCCCCACCCCAGTCACTGCCCGGGTGGGTGCCGCTCCCCACCCACGCCGCGCACCGACCCCAGAGCCCCGGTCCCGGGGCACCCCCGCCGGCCTCCACACGAAGCAGCTTCATCTCGGTCGAGAACCGACTCTACGCTCAGGCGGAAAAGCGGCCGCTCCACGCCCGTGCTGACCGCATCCTGCTCCCGGACCCTCTGGGGCGCAGAGCCGCTTTGGGGCCTTCAGGAGTGCGATGAGAGGGACCCCAGGTCACTCTGCCCTTCTCTCCGGGCCTCTAGGACCACCCCTCTGTTGGATGTCTGCGTTCTGGGGGCCACCGTCTTTGCACAGCTTGTTTTATCCCTAGGCTTCCAGCCAGCGTCTCCACACAGACCCCGCGGGCTGCGGATGTGGGCAGCACGTGTTCAAGTCTGGGCACGCAGGTGTATGTGTGAGGTGACAAAACCCCATCCCTGGTGGTTTCCTGTTTTCAAGTCCTCAGCCCCCCAGGTGAGGGCGATAACTGTCAACAAAAATGGTTTCTCTGACCTGGGCCTTTTCTTCTTTGGGGGGGCGGGGGCAGGTTTGTAAGAGTTTAGGAGAGTTTCAACCCCTGGGAGGCAGAGGCCAGGCGAGGACTGGAGGGGAGGGGGCGTCAGCATGGCGACCTCTCCTCTGCCCCACCCCCGGCAGGGGTAGGGGGTGGGGGCGTCCTGGCCCTGCAGGTCTGGCTGAGGAACGCCAGGTGGAAAGCAAGGTTGGGGGTCTGGTGGCTCAACCTCAAATCCCACTATGTCCTGGGACTGCAGCAAAGGCTTCTGGGGCTTCAACCCCAGAAAAGTGCCCAGGTCAGGGGCTCCCCGAGATGGCCCGGGGGCGGGGCCCTGATGCCCTCCCTCCAGAGCTGACGCTCAGAGGCAGGGGACCCACCTCAGCTCTGCCCACAGCGGCTTCCTCCGGCTCCTCTCTGTTACCTGGGCACCAGGATTGCTCCCCACTGGCCACCTTGAAGGGGTGGGGGGCAGGCAGAGGTCGCTCAGACACGGCCTGAACCCACGCTCCCCACCTAGGAGCGGTTTTCCTCCTGCAAATAGGCCCAGCGGCCCTCACTGGGCCTCGGCCTCCTCACATCTTTGCCACAGGAGACGTGGTGAGAGCCCTGGAGCTCAAGGACCCACGGGCCGCGCCGGGTTCTGGGTGGCGGGCTGGGGGCCGAAGGATGGGCCTGGAGCCGGGCTCGGGCAGCACCCAGCCAGGCGGGCGCAGCTGCCGCCTGGCCCCTTCCTGGGTCCTGCCTGTGGGAAACCCCAGGAGTGCCACCTCTATCCCAGGAACCGCCTCCCCTGCTGGCTCAGGGAGGGTCTGCCCAGAGGCTACGTCCAACCACAGAATCTTTCAGAAATCTCGCTTACTCCTGCAGGCATTGTTCAAACATGGTGCTCCCAGAACCCATGGGAGCCCCGCCAGCCAGCAGCTCTACACCACACAGGGGAGAGGGTGAACCAGAAAAGGCAAGGGGGTGGTTGAGGGGCATCAGCATCCCCTGAGGAGCCCTCAGCACTGGCCTGGCCAGCTCAGTGGTCCATGTAGGATTGGGGGTTCATGGGAAAGAGGTGGGGGTGCTGAGGAGGTCCCTGATGGTAAACCAAGGTAGAGAGATGTAAGCGAGGGAGTAGCTTGGCGCCAGGCAGCCTTGGGACCACGTCAAGACCAAGGACAGAGGGGTGGGCAGGGGCTGAAGGGAGGCCTTGAAGGAAGCCTCACTTGCCTAGTAGAGGCTGTTCATGGCAGGAGGGGGCCGCTCTGAGGGCTCCTGGGCTCCCAGCCAGGCCACCTGCCCATCAGAGCCAGGAGAGCCCCCCACCCGCGGCCTGAGTAGGCCTTCTGCCAGCTCAGGCGGCCATGAAACCCTCATCCTTGGACCGGAAGGTTTCCACCGGGGGTCTGTTCCTAGCCAGCCCCATGTCAGAGCCAGCGGTGGTGAGGGGCCCGGCTGAGAGCTGAGGTGTGGCTGCGCACAGCCCCCTCAAAACCCAGTCTTCGTTCAACATGTGGGGTCCCTGAGGCCCAAAGGGGCGAGGACTGGCGCCAGGGGACAGGACTTAACCAGCCCCAGCACCTCCCCTGGGCACTGGGGCCATGCCCTCAGCCGATCAGGCGTAAGGTTTGGGTTCTGACCTCAGACGCTGCTCCCTGCCTGGGGGACCTGGGGGGGCTCACTTCACCTCTAAGAGGCTCACTTTGCTCCTCACAGGAGGGAGCTAAGGCCCTAGGGGCATGAGGAGATGGTAAGCCAGGCCCAGGAACTAAGAAACTCCGCTCGGAGCATCCTATTTACTACTTTGAAAACACCTGCCACTCGGGGTGTTTAACAGCCCACTTAACAGACGTGGAGCCAGAGCCGCAGGTCCCACAGCTGGGAAGCAGAGCGTTCTTAGTGGGAGGAGGGGAGCAGAAAGAGACCGCGGCGGAGACCCCGGCCGGGCGTGCGGGGGCCACCAGGTGGCGCCACCGACACGACTGTGCGGCCGTGCGAGGCGGCCCGGAGGCCCCTCCGCAGAAGCCGCCCGCCCAGCCAGCGGGAGCGAAGAGCGTCCTCGAGGCGCTCGGGGTGGGGACGGGGGCATCCGGGACCCCATCCTCGCTAACCAGCCCCGCATCGCCGCCTCTCTCACCTGGCCCAGGAGCCCACCCCAGAGCGTGCGACCCCAGCCCAACCCCCAGGACCCTTCCTCCCCGTGACTGCCTGCCACCCCCGGCCACCTGCTCCTCCTGCCCCTCCCATCCCACCACAGCGGGGCAGCGGGGGGTCCCTGAGGACGCACCCCAACCCCCCCCTCGGCGACCCAGAAGCTCTCTTTCTGCAGTTCAGCACCCACCCACCCTCGGGCTCGCCCCGCGCCCCGCCCTGAGACCGCCCCGACCCCCAGCGCTCAGGAGCCCTCCCCCCCACCCCGTCCGCCACCTCTCCCGCAGCGGCTCCCACCCTCCCTCCAGGTAGCCCACCGGCGACGGCTTTTCTAGGCTTCCGACTCTCGGCTGGCAGTGCCCAGTGCTGCTGCCGGCCCAGACGGAGCACTGGACCCTGGGCATCACCACCACCTGCCGGGTGTGACCTCGGGCTTCCTGGGGGTCCGGGGAGCCTCACACCCTTGCTGGTTCGCTGTAGGGGCTGGGCAACGTCGTGGCCTTTGCCCCCTAGTCCAGTCCAGGCGCCCACCAACTGGGGCTGACCTTAGCAAAGGAAGGGAGGGGCCTGCGACCTAGGGAGCAGAAATCGGACGCTCCCCGAGGGCTTAACCAGCCCCAGCACCTCCAGAGAGAAGGGCGGGCCTGCGTGAGCCGGGGCTGGGAGGGGCCAGAGTTGAGGAGCCAGGAGAGCCTCTGGCCCCCCTGCTGGTCTCTGGGCCTCTCCCAGGCCCCTGGGAGTGACTCCGCAGAGAGAATGCACAGGCTGTGCCCCATCCCCAACACAGGGACGCCCAAAAGCACAGGATGCTACGTCTGCTGGCACAGCCAGGGGTGGGAAGGCCCTCCAACCTCAGGTTCCACTCACCCTGCTGAGGGTGGGCATGACATCTGGAATTTCCATTAGTGACCCCTCAACAGCTTCATTTCAGCGTCCATGAAATGGGTCAGAAAACTATTTTGGATAAAATAAACAGACATTACAAAAGATTAGGGTGCTCTGAGAAGCAGTAATAGGGCTCCTCTGGGATGACTTTTTTCCCCAATTTTTTTTTTTCCTGTGGCAAAATATACAAAATTTACCACATGAGTCATTTTTTAAGGGAAAAGTTGAAATGCAGTTGAGGAAAAATGGTAATTCCAGGTGTACTAATTGATGCTTTTGAACTGTGGTGTTGGAGAAGACTCTTGAGAGTCCCATGGATAGCAAGGAGATCAAACCAGTCCATCCTAAAGGAAATCAACCCTGAATATTCATTGGAAGGACTGATGCTGAAGCTGAAGCTCCAATACTTTGGCCACCTGATGTGAAGGTGAGGGTCATTGGAAAAGACCCTCATGCTGGGAAAGATTGAGGGCAGGAGGAGAAGGGGACAACAGAGGACGAGATGATTGGATGGCATCACCGACTCAATGGACATAAGTTTGAGCAGACTTTGGGAGATAGTGAAGGACAGGGAAGCTTGACATGCTGCAGTCTATGGGGTCTCAAAGAGTCGGACACCACTGAATTACTGAACAACTACATAGTGATTTGACATTTGCATATAACATGAAATGATCACTATTCTAAGTCTAGTAACAATCTGTCCACAAAGTTATTACAATATTATTGACCATATTCCTTATGTTGTGTATTACATCCCATGACTTATAACTGGAGGTTTGTACCTCTTAATCCCCTTCACCTATTTTGCCCCCCATCCCCCTTCTGGTAATCACCCATTGGTTCTCTGTATTTAGGACTCTGTTTATTTTGTTTGTCTAGATTCCCCATGTAAATAAAGTCATACAGTATTTGACTTCTGACTTATTTTACTTATAATACCATCTAGATCTACCCATGTTGCTGCAAACAGAAAATTTTCATTTTTAAAAAATGGTGGTGTAATATTCCATTGTGTATCCGTGTGTATCATATCTTCCTTATCCATTTATCTGTTGATGGGCATTTAGGTTGCCTCCATATCTCGGCTGTTGTAAATAATGCTGCAGTGAACTTGGGGTGTGTATACTTTTTCAAATTAATGTTTTTATTTTCTTCGGGTAAATACCCAGAAGTAAAATTCCTATATCATATGGCAATTATATCTTTAATTTTCTGAGGATCCTCCATACTGGTTTGCACAGTGGTTGCACCAATTAACAGTCCTACCAACAGTGCCTAAGTGTTCCCTTCTCTCTACATCCTTGCCAACATTTGCTATTTGTTGTCATTTTGGTAACAGTCATTCTGACAGGCGTTAAGGTGGTATCTCATAGTCATTCTGATTTGCAAGATGACATTTAAAATAAAACCTGAGGGACTTCCCTGGCCCCTGGTTGGGACTCTATGATTCCCATGAAGGGGATACAGGTTTGATCCCTGGTTAGGGAACTAGAATCCCACATGCCACACGGTGCAGCACCCGCCCCCCAAATTAAAATTAAACCTGAACACGAGTGGTAGTGCTCTATGCAAAGATTGTGACGAGATCTTTCCAGGCAGGAAAAAGTACGTACAAAGGTGCTGCGGTTAAAAAGAGCTTGGCATTAGCATGGCCCAAGGAAGGTCAGGAAACAAGGAGAG